GCGGGGGGGGTGTGTGGAAATAACGGGGACAGAGCTGCTGTCAGACGATCAGCTGTGCAGCGTCATCACAAACGGACGTCGCTTCACGTGACGCTCCGGAGGAAAGGACGTCCCATTGCTCTTAAAACTAATTTCCCTGCTTCTCGTGGTTTCCTTGCGTCCCTCCATGCTTCCCTGGTGGGAGGGACTAGACGCAGGGAAACGACGCAAGTGAGGGAAGCAAGGATTTCATTTAATCGACCTGAGAAGCAGCCCTGTTCTTCAGCAACTTCACTGGCTCCCCGTCAAATCCCGTATCGTTTTTAAGATTCTGCTCCTCGCCTTTAAGGCCATCCATAACCTCACTCCTCTGTACCTCTCCGACCTCCTGCACATCAACACACCCATCCGCACACTCAGATCTTCTGCTTCCCTCAACCTCACTGCACCGCCCTTTCGTTTAACCACCATGGGGTCTAGAGCCTTCAGCCGCTCTGCACCCCGCCTCTGGAACTCCCTCCCACCTGACATCCGCAACACTGACTCTCTCCCCTCCTCAAATCACGCCTCAAAACATATCTCTTCACACTCGCATATCCACCCTGATCATTATCCATCACACATCCTCTGTTTTTATTTATTTGGTTATTTGATTGACTTATTTACTGCATTGTCATTGTCTTGTTTATGTTTCTTATGCTGGTGTTATCTATTGTGTATCTTGTTTTTTATGTGTTTGTACGGCGACCTTGAGAGCCTTGAAAGTGTCACGATCTGTCTGTGTTGTTGTTTTGTCTTGTCTTTTTCTATCTTTGGGTTTCCTGTTTTATTTTGAAAATTGTTCACCCCCGTTTCCTGCCTGTTGCTTTCTGTCTGTTTTCCCTCCCTGATTACCCGATTATGTTCACCTGGTGCCTCTGTGTTTTCTCCTCCCTCCTCACCTGTGTCTTGTTTGTGTGATTAGTCTTGTGTGTATTTAAATTCTGGTTTTTCTGTCTGTCTTTGTCGGTTCGTCGTTTGTATGTGACTGTGTTCAGCGGGGAGTGTTCTGGGTTTTGACGTTTAGCCTTGAAATAAAGGATTTTTCAGTGTTATCTGCGTTTGGGTCCTGCTTGCTTCACTCACCGTAACAGAACGAACCGACCAAGAAATGGACCCAGCAGATGATCCATTTGAGGTGGAACTACAACATTTTTCCTTTTATTTGGCTTGCTGCTATGATTGGTGGAAGGGAGCGTCCAGTGTTCTGCAGAAGGAGGCCGCTCTGGTAGAGGCGCACCGGTTGGCTATGGAGAAACCAGACTTGGTGAAATTCTTACCTGGCTGGATTTTGAACTTCCTCTGGGTGTGTGATTTCCAGCCTGCTGAATACAAACGTCTCGGTGTGTTCCGTCTGGAGTCAACCAGTGCTTCTGCCCCAGTTCCTGCTCCTGTCTAGGAGTCGTTTTCTGGAACTCGTCTGGCATTTGGAGGTCCACGGAGCCTTCAGGCGGCTTCTAAGAGAAGGAGTCGCAAGTCCAGGCTAGCAGCCCGAGCCCCAAGAGCCATGATTCCGGTCCCAGTTCTGGCCCCAGTGGCCATGGTTCCAGCCCCAGCAACCATGTTTCTGGCTCCAGAACCGGTCCCCACAGCCATGGTTCCGGCTCCAGAACCGGCCCATGTAGCCATGGTCCCTGCTGCAGAACCGGCCCACACAGCCATGGTCCCAGCCCCAGTCCTGGCCCCAGCAGCCATGGCTCCGACCCCCAGCAGCCATGGTTCCGGCTTCAGTACCGGCCCACACAGCAATGATCCAGGCTCCAGAACCGGACCTTACAGCCATGTTTCCGGCTCCAGAACCGGACCTTACAGCCATGTTTCCGGCTTCAGAACCGGACCTTACAGCCATGATTCCGGCTCCAGAGCCGGCCCATTCAGCCATGTTTCCGGCTCCAGAACAGGACCTTACAGCCATGATTCCGGCTCCAGAGCCGGCCCATTCAGCCATGTTTCCGGCTCTAGAACCGGACCTTACAGCCATGTTTCCGGCTCTAGAACCGGACCTTACAGCCATGTTTCCGGCTCCAGAACCGGACCTTACAGCCATGTTTCCGGCTCCAGAACCGGACCTTACAGCCATGATTCTGGCTTCAATTCCGACCCCTGCAGCCATGGTTCGGGCCCCAGCAGCCATGGTTCCGGCTTCAGTACCGGCCCCGGAAGCCATGGGCTCGACTCCAGTTTCGGCTACAGGGCTGGCTCCTCAGCCGACGCCAGCTCCCCGAGTCTTGTCGGCGTACCGGCCGACTCCAGCACCTTGTCTTCTGCTGGCTCCCCAGCCGACGCCAGCTCCCAGAGTCTTGTCGGCGTACCGGCCGACTCCAGCACCTCGTCTCCTGCTGGCTCCCCAGACGACGCCAGCTCCTTGTCCTATCTCGTTTGAGGTCCCGCCGTCTACTCTCCTGCCGGGGGTCCTGCCAACCCTTTGTCCTGTCTCGTTGGAGGTCCTGCCGTCTACTCTCCTGCCGGGGGTCCTGCCAATCCTTTGTCCTGTGCCGTTGGAGGCCCCGCCGACTACTCTCCTGCCGGGGGTCCTGCCAACCCTTTGTCCTGTACTGTTGGAGGCCCCGCCGACTACTCTCCTGCTGGGGGTCCTGCCAACCCTTTGTCCTGTCTCGTTGGAGGTCCCGCCGTCTACTCTCCTGCCGGGGGTCCTGCCAACCCTTTGTCCTGTCTCGTTGGAGGTCCCGCCGTCTACTCTCCTGCCGGGGGTCCTGCCAATCCTTTGTCCTGTGCCGTTGGAGGCCCCGCCGACTACTCTCCTGCCGGGGGTCCTGCCAACCCTTTGTCCTGTGCTGTTGGAGGCCCCGCCGACTACTCTCCTGCCGGGGGTCCTGCCAACCCTTTGTCCTGTCTCGTTGGAGGTCCCGCCGTCTACTCTCCTGCCGGGGGTCCTGCCAGCTCCTTGTCCTGTCTCATTGGAGGTCCCACCGACTACTCTCCTGCCGGGGGTCCTGCCAACCCTTTGTCCTGTGCTGTTGGAGGCCCCGCCGACTACTCTCCTGCCGGGGGTCCTGCCAACCCTTTGTCCTGTCTCGTTGGAGGTCCCGCCGTCTACTCTCCTGCCGGGGGGTCCTACCAGCTCCTTGTCCTGTCTCGTTGGAGGTCCCGCCGTCTACTCTCCTGCCAATCCTATGTACTGTGCCGTTGGAGGCCCCGCCGACTGCTCTCCTGCCGGGGATCCTGCAAATCCCGTATCCTGGTCCTCTTCCGTGGGGGATCCTGCCGAGGCCTGTCCCACCAGCTCCGACACCGGGTCCTGCCCGGTCTCCGGCACTGTCCCGTCAGCGCCTTCCTGCCCGGCCTCCGGAGCTCTCCGGTCTTCGCCCTCGAGCCTGGGCCCCTGAGAGCCGCGGTCTTCGCCCTCGATCCCGGCCCTCTGTGAGCCGCAGTCTTCACCCTCGAGCCCGGCCCCCTGTGAGCCGCAGTCTTCACCCTCGAGCCCGGCCCCCTGAGAGCCGCGGTCTTCGCCCTCGAGCCCGGCCCCCTGACTCTTCCTGCCGCGGTCCTCGCCCTCGGGCCCGGCCCCCTGACTCTTCCGGCCGCGGTCCTCGCCCTCATGCTTGGCCCCCTGACTTTTCCGGCCGCAGTCCTTGCCCTCATGCTCGGCCCCCTGAGTTCGCCCATGTTGGCCTTCGCCCCTCCATAACCCCCATTTTGGACTCTGCCTTTCCCCCGGGCCGTCCGCCCAAGACCCCTTCCTGGTCCTCTGCCGTGCCCCCGGGCCGTCCGCCCGAGACCCCTTCCTGGTCCTCTGCCGTGCCCCTGGGTTGTCAGCCCAAGCCCGTCCTCAGACCCCCTCCACCCACCCTGGTGGCTTAGTGATGCATCCCTCCTCCGGACCCCCTCCACCCACCCTGCTTAAGGTTTTGGACTTTTTTAGTTTTGTTTTGGGACGTCTGGGATCCATCCCTTGAGGGGGGAGTACTGTCACGATCTGTCTGTGTTGTTGTTTTGTCTTGTCTTTTTCTATCTTTGGGTTTCCTGTTTTATTTTGTAAATTGTTCACCCCCGTTTCCTGCTTGTTGCTTTCTGTCTGTTTTCCCTCCCTGATTACCCGATTGTGTTCACCTGGTGCCTCTGTGTTTTCTCCTCCCTCCTCACCTGTGTCTTGTTTGTGTGATTAGTCTTGTGTGTATTTAAATTCTGGTTTTTCTGTCTGTCTTTGTCGGTTCGTCGTTTGTATGTGACTGTGTTCACCGGGGAGTGTTCTGGGTTTTGACGTTTAGCCTTGAAATAAAGGATTTTTCAGTGTTATCTGCGTTTGGGTCCTGCTTGCTTCACTCACCGTAACAGAAAGGCGCCTATATAAAATAAATGTATTATTATTAAAGGTCCCATGTTTTGGCAATTTATACTGATCATAATTCCATTGTTGAGTGAGGTCTACTAGAATAGATTTACATTGTTCAATGTTCCAAAATCACATTGGTTTCTCATACAGCATCTCTGTATAGTATGTGTATTCACTCTCTGTCCTAAACGGCATGTTGGAGCTCCTGATCCTCCTCCCCACTGTGCTCCGATTGGTCAGCTGAGCTCGCCCACTCTGTTCTGATTAGTAAACCACCAGAGAGGCTCCGCCCCTGTCTGGGGTCTCCAGATTTAGAGACGTCAATAGCCCCCGGAAGAAAATAATGGAAAAAGGAAAATCTACGACGAGGCGTTCTGGGGCAGCATAGACACGTCTTTTCCGCGTTAGAGTTTTACTCGCTACAGGTTGTACTTTGAGGGTTTGTGACTTTGCAGACCGTTTACATGCAGAAAAAGCTATATAATACACGAAAGGATGGGTAATAACCGCAAAAGCATATGATGGGACCTTTAAATTGCGTGAAAAAACTGGCTAGAGAGCTAAAGTTAATTACATTTATCTAATGTCAGAATGATTACCTTTTAACAAATGTTGTAATGCTTTTCTTTCATTTCAATTTGAGTAAAACATTTAAGATATAACATTGTATTGTTTTCTTCTTACACAGACTCAGATATAAGGAAAAGACTACGTCAGCCCAAGCTCAGCTTTGGTAAGGGAGATACAGGACAGGCAGAGAGAAAGAGAGGAAGTGATGGAAGTCAGAGAGGAACTGCAGGTACAGCCTTCTGAGCCCAGGGTTGCATTTACATTATGTGCATGTGCTGTTCAACACAAACAATGTAAGCTTAATAACCCCATATCCATCTATATATCTATAACAATAGTCTTCATTTACAATATACACGATAAGCTTAATTTTAAAACTACATCTATTGCAGTTATGATGTCATAATAACATACAATTTTATAAAACACAATCTGCTTACATCTTTGTTCTCTTTTGAGAATTAAACAAAACATATTTAAATAAAAACAATTATGCAAACAAAGTTCATTTTCAAAGTGAAATGAACTAAATTACTGAATTGTTTTCTTTTTTTTACAAAAACATACAAACAAACACATACAATATTGATTGAAATCGTTTCTTAAATAATTTGGTTTACTTGAACAATTGAATTAAACATTGGAATATTAATGTTGACAATGTTTTGTCAACATGTCCTCTTCTGCATGGCCAGATCATTACCAGTAACAATCAACTGACTTGGTTTGAAATCAATATATTATCCAATTTGTGACCCCCCAAAGGATTTAAACAGCACGTAACTAGATCATGAAAATCCCCAAAATCTCGAAGGGGTATGCCCCCGAACCCCCCAGCATGTTTGGACCTTATTATTTAAGAAATCCTGGATACAGGCCTGCAAGCCATAGTATAATTATGATGAAAACGATACTCTCAGGTATTCTTGATTGCTTCATTGGGAATACATCGTAATGGATATATTTGTAATTGGTTCCTGCTGAATAGTTCTTTACTTTTACTCTTACAGAAGAAGTCATACTGTCTGATGTGAAACACATCATGAGACGTGTGGATCAGAAACTACCAAAACAAGATGACAAGCTCAACAAGTTCCTGAAGTAAGTATTGGCGTTTTTGAGCAAGGGGAAAGAGTTTAAAAAGACCATAGTAAACCTTAAAAGTCGAAATTATACAGCTTTTTACAAGGACTGTTCTTATTTGTAAGATTTCTTCTTGAGTTTGGCACACTCTTTTAGTGTTTGTTAAATGTTTTAATTTGATCAATAACCCATATTCAAACTCTTGCACAACAGAAATAACATCAAACATTTGGAGACAGACAAGAGGGAGGTGGTCGGCGTCTTTGGTAAAACGGGGGCTGGAAAGAGCTCTCTGATAAATGCCGTCATTGGAGAGCAGGATCTCTTGCCCTCTGGAGACATCAGTGCATGTACCTCAGTGATGACTAAAGTGGAGGCTAACAAGCGTAACTCAAAGTATGAGGCAGAAATTGAGTTCATTACAAAAGAGGTAAAATAAGCTAAATATGTTTGTTAACTTAGAGCTATTTCAACTTTTATGATGAAGCTGCAAATAAATATATATGCTGACTACACAACATGCCATATAATAAAAAATGTTTTTTTAGGATTGGAAAGAGGAGTTGTGGACCTTGTTTAATTTCCTTGGTGATAACGAAGATCAGGAAAAAGACGAAGATTATCAAGACAGTGTTGAAACGCTGTCAATGCTGTATGGAGAAGAATGGAGAAGCAAATCTCCTGAAAACCTCTTGGATAAAAAGTTCTTCAGAGAAATTCCTGAATTTCTCAGTTCCAAGAGTAAGATTTTGACAAGCGATACTGTAAGTAAGACTAAAACTTATATCATTTCATAAAACAAACTCTTGGTTGGTGTAGTTTCGTGATAGACACCAAATGCAAAATGTAATTCGGTATTTACTCAAAAATGAAGCTTGATCTATCTGGACTCTAATTACAATAACTATAAAACCATATCTACTTTATGCATAATAGGAAAGGAAATGTCTACAGTAATTAACTTGCTTGCAATAACCTCAACCATATATTTTAAGGCACTACAGCTTTACAATTAAAATCATGTTAAAAATTTTAAAACCAAATTGTTCCCCATTGCTAAAATATAAACGTAAGGTTTGATACTTTTTTATTTAATATAGATTTTGTCGTTCAGTGATAGGGTTTCAAATGGACTTCTAATGCTATGCTGTAATAATTATTTAACACAATCTTTTAAAACACTTTAAAGTTAAAGTTTGTTCATGTAAAAGAAATGGCCTTGAATTGCCTCTTGTTTTATGATTTATTTTAGGCTAAAGAATTATCTGCAGAATTGGTCAAATACACACGAAGTGAGTCAAAAGAGGAAGATGCTAAAGACGTGAAGAGTTGGTATTGGCCACTGGTGAAGTGTGTGACTGTCAGGGTGCCAAAGAATGCTTTTCTCCAGCATGTCACACTTGTGGATCTTCCTGGAAACGGGGACCGTAACAAGAGCAGAGACACAATGTGGAAAAAGGTGATTAATCCACATGCAATGCTGATTATTGTGGAAGGTTACACTGACAATGTAACCGTTATTATTTGCTGTATTCCCCTCTAGGTTATTGGAAGTTGTTCTACTGTGTGGATTGTGGCTGAGATAAATCGAGCAGCTTCTGAAAAAGAATCCTGGGAGATCCTGGAAGAATCCTGCAGCCTCATGGGAAATGGTGGAGAGTGTCGGCAGATTCATTTTATCTGCACCAAGTCTGATTATATTGGACGTTCAGGAAATCAGTAAGTGGTTTAAGATGCCAAAAGTACACAGTTAAATGTACCATCCAATTCAGACGGAGATGGCCAAGAGGATAAACCATGGAAACATTGATTACGTTTACAGGCACATTAGTATCCTGGTTTTGATCGTATTCAGGGATATAATGTTCACTTGAAACATGATAAACCAGGTTATTCATGATCATAACAGTATCCGTGTTTCTAAAATGTCTGCATGTGTGTCTTGATTCCTCAACATCTCAGCCATTTATTTCTGTCCTAATGTTGTTGCTTCACAAACACTTTGTGATGCTGGATTAAGCTCCTCTATGTGATCACTGGTTATTGAAAGCAAGATCGAGATGCCTAGTGATATGATATCCTGGAATGTATATGCAGTTTATGTAATTCTCGAAATACAAATATTTTCATATAGGTCAGCAGCTGATGTTCGTGATCGGATACTAAAACGAAACAAGCAAGCCAAGAAACAATTGAGGGCAGAATTCAGCAAACTAAATGAGGTTAAGGTGAGTTATATTGAATTCAAATCAAACACAAATATTGTCAGAACTGCAAACCTGCTTTTATATCAAAACTTGTTTGTTTTTTCAGAAACAACTCAGTGAGAAGTGTTTCGAGGTTTTCACAGTGAGCTCTGATGAGTTTTTGGAAAAGATACATTTAGACCCAGTTGACACAGGTGATTCAACTCTCCATAAGTGAGCCAGGGATGACAAAATGGTTTTATATCCTCCAATAAATATGGAGATACTAATTGAGTATAACATGTAAATTCAAGAATGTAATGTATGTTTTTTTATAGAAATTCCCGAACTGCAGGAAATCCTGCAAGATCTCAATGAATGGCACTCTGAGACATTTAACTACGTGTCCGGAGCTCGCGGGATTCTCTCTCTGATGCAGGGAGCCAGCATCGGAGGAGAGGTAAGATCAAGTAACAACATCTTTCATTGTCTTTAATATTGACAGAAAATAATAACATTAATAGAAAATAAGTAAGCTGCATATACTAAAATGTTGTGTAACAATTGTAAAGTCAAAGACAGACTGCTTACATGAATGTATGTTACCTGTACAGCCAACAAGGTATTGGATTTACTGAGTTTGTGTTGCTTCAGAGAGGATGCATTGCTACAGTAATTAAAGTGTTTTTGTACTTATTAATGTTTTGTGTATGGTTTCAGACTGACATAAAGACGACTGTGTGCAAAGAACTTGAAGAAAAGCTGAGTCATGAACTTGATAAAGTCAAGAAACCCATGAAAGAGACCCTTACGGCTTTTGAAAGATGCCTCAGTGAGGGGGTTGAAAAATCAAAAGGTTCATGTGAAAAAGTCTTAAAGTCGGTCCTTTATCCTAAAGTAAGTATTTAAGTTATAATGAAATCAAAACAAATGCTTGCTCTTAATATGAATATGTCTCTTACAAAATGTGTTTTGTTTCAGCTAAGTTACGGGTCATTGAAGTGTGTAGTTGAGAAGGGTGGCATCCACAAACCAAAAAAAAGGAAATCAATAAACATCAATATGAAGTTCTCTTCATGTTTGACCGACAGCATTGACGAGGAATTTAAGAAGACCTTCCCGTAAGAAATGACATAATAAAGACATAAAACCCTATGTTGGATAAATTGTGTTTTACAGTACATTTAAATACATTATTGAAATACAAACTTGTTAAGGCTTTATGAATTCAAGCATTTCCTCTTGTTAATTTATTTTAGAAATGAAAGAAACAGTGGACCATTCAACGGGGTCATCAATGCGTTTTCACTTGGCACAGAGAAGATGATGAATAAGGATTGCGAAACTGTCAAACTGCAGCTGACATTTCTCAAGACAGAGGTAAAAGATCCTATTCATTAGACGTTATCAAATATGTTTGTAAAGCCAGGGAGACTGTAGTGGAAGGGTGAGCAATATTATTAAATATCATACATTTTGATCAGTCAACATTTTCAATTCAATTCAATTCAAAACCTTTATTTATACAGATAAAACCCATTGAGATCATAGACCTCTTTTACAATGGTGACCTGCTTCAATTAGTTCCAAACATTAATACAAACATGACAGAAAACAAAGGACATTATATGATACTACAGTTTGTATACTAGTAGCATTTACAGACACCAATATTTTCTGATTGTATAGCGTCTATCCTAGCTTTAAAAACATGAAATGGAATCAAACCGCTTAGCTTCCATTCCTTTTGTAGACTGTTCCATGCTAGCGGCGCTGCGCATCTAAAAGCTGTATTTCCTAATACAGTCCTAGCAGTTGGCACATGTAATACAACCACAGCTTTAGATCTCAGGCAGTAGCCATTTACAATACGCTGTGAGATCAGGGAACAGATGTAAGACAAATACATTATACTGGAATAACTCAATATGATCTGGAGATGGCTTTCAAAAATTAACTGCAGCTGTAAAGCTGACCCTGTCCCAAGTCATGAAGACACACTAAAGATTACAATAGCATATGGAAGAAAAAGTGCACCCCCAGCTGGTGGACACGTCCTATCAGTTTGAATAATGCACTGCTTTTCCAGGTAAAATCTGGAAAAAATAATAAAGGTAAAGATGAGCATAGTTTGTAACTTATTCATTTTAAAATATGTTGATATCTACTTCACATTCTCTCTCTAAGGAAGAAAAAATGAAAACAAACCTCAACAATCTCATCCGTGAGCGAAAGAAAACGATCTACAGCAGCCTGACAACAACAATCGAGGAGACCATGAAACCATGCTATGACAGTAAGTCAGAAGATCATTACAGACATAGAAATACACTTTTACAAATGTTTATGTCAACATGTTTCTGTTTTATGTAGGAGCAAAAGAAATTAAAGGAGTAGGCACGCTGAAAAACATGAGGGAAACTATTGAAAAGCACGTACATGATTCAAAGAACGTCATGTTTGCTCTGGCTAAAGACGCCATGATGAAACAGATGAGAGAATTGATGGTTTGTCACATCTTTATTTTTGTCCTGCAGTCAAATTCAACTAGGAACACTGCAACACAAACATACATGTCCAAAAATTACAGTGTTAAGTGAAAAATATTTCAATGCTGATTTAGTCGGACATCCTGGAGAAACTGGAGAGCACGATGCAGGAATCAATCGAGCTGTCACTCAAAACAGATGGTGTCTCCATCCCAGGTAAAGGAAACAAAATCACAAAAAACACTGTACATTTGATCGTAATTGTCGATACATTTCCATTAGTGTATTCAATTAATCCACTTATTTGAAACAATGTGTTTTTTTTGTTTTTTAGATGTAAGTGAGGAGCTTAAGATGGTAAAGAAATACTACAATGAACTGACCAAAAGCCCAGATGATGATGCAATTCTTAGGTAAAACTCAATTTATACATAATGTAAAATAAAGAGATGGAGTACTCGGACTCGTGAATTTTTAGCCCACGATGACTCGGACTCGACTTGTACATTGACGCTCCGACTTGGACTCGGATTCGAGCAAGTTTTGTCTCGAGTCGGATGTCCTCTGTCCTGGCGTGTGCACCTGCGAGGCGAGTTCAGGTACTGGGCGGGCCCCCGCTGTTCCAGTCTAAAGAGTCCAGAGACACATCCCATATCGTGCTGCTGATGCTTTCACAGATTTAGCTTAGACATTGGGAAAGAGCAGCACAAAATGCTCGTTATGTGGAAAAAATATTGAAGAGAAGGCTCCATAACACATTACTCTAAGCATGGGCGTAATTTCCACTGGGGACAAGGGGGACATGTCCCCCCCACTTTTCAAAATCCCATTTGTGTCCCCCCCACTTTTCAAATGTGTTTATTTGATTTGTTTACGCAAGCGGTCATCGCCAGGGAGGAGCACACAGCTTCTGTGTGTGTGTGTGTGTGTGTGTGTGTGTGTGTGTGGTGTGTGTGTGTGTGTGTGTGTGTGTGTGTGTGTGTGTGTGTGTGTGTGTGTGTGTGTGGGTGTGTGGGTGTGTGTGTGTGTGTGTGTGGCACGAGCGCATTTTGTGTGAGTGTGTGAGCGAGAGAGAAAGAGAGAGATAGAGAGAGAGAGAGCTCACCAATTACGGGGTTGTTGTTAGCATCTGGTGCTAGCTGTTTCAACAACAATATGGAGAGGGAGAGTCCTCTCCTGTCGGACTGAGATGCTGAGATAACATCAGCTCAGTGAGGTAAAGGACTCGCTGAGTGATTAGATTGTAAACTTTAGTTTAAGTTATCTCAGTGGGTCTCAAACGGTTTGGTCATCTATGTAAACAAATATTTCCATCTATTTAATAGTTGTAAAAAATAAGTTAAGAAATCATTCCAATGTGTATTATAGGTCAGTAAAAAAGAAAAAACACAGTTTAGATAGGAGAGAAAAGTTTATCAAATATTTGTTATTGGTTGTGAGCATATTCTAATGTTTTTTTTATTATTTAAACATATATACAGTTCTGTTTCATATGAGTGTTGAGAGCTGTATCCATACATTTCTTAATTTTGCGCACCAGATGCATTTAACTTCAATTTAAAATGAATATATCTTCCCGGGGGTGCATGCCCCCGGACCCCCCTAGACGATGTGAGGTCCACCCACAAATAAAACAGGTTCACATGGATAGGGTACTAGATAAATATGTGTACTTGTAAAGCGCTTTGAGCACCTGTAAAAGCGCTCTAATATAAAAATGTAATGCATTATTATTATTATTATAAGTTTGCACACTCATTATATACACCACACCTTTTTCTTAGATTTTTTAACAGCATATAGTCCCTAATATATCTGTAGAAAGGCAGGAAATGGAATTAAATCGAGAAAATGTTTCATTGCGGAGGACCCCCTGTTTTGTGCCCCCCCATTTCTCAAACCAAAGTTATACCCTTGCCTTGACTATGATGGTTTGGATTGAAAAAAGCGTATTATTATTGTGTGTTTTTGTGTTTGTTACTGGTATATCTTTCAGACTGGAGAAGATGAGTGATTTAAAAGATGAGGAAGAGGAGACATCTTCAGTCTCCAGCTGTCTGAGTGACCGATCTAAAGACTGGTCTGGAGACTTCAGAAATGAACCTGGACCCTCAGACACAAAGTAAGAGTTTCTGCTGTAAACTGACCTGAAGAGGATTCAGCTTTTATACAACCTAATATATTAAGGATATTTTAATATACAATTATATTAGCATTGTATCTGCATGCCCTCGGACCGCCCTAGACGATGTGAGGTCCACCCACAAATAAAACAGGTTCACATGGATAGGATACTATAAGCTTGCACACTCATTATATACACTACACCAGGCATCCTCAGTTTGTAGCCAAACTCCTGTCATGTTATAAATTATTATAACATGACAGGATAAAAGCAATGCAGAGGAGCTACAGCTACATTTCAACAAATATACCACTAAGATGAAAGTAGTTATAAGACTACCGCAAATGTTCGAATGAGATTAAGTACCTAATAAGAGAGTGATTTATGACCCTCATAAACCTTAGTCCCGCCTCCAAATCCCTTTGATGTGGCTCCTGTCACTCTGACCTTTGACCCTCTTATCTTTTATGACTTGTTTGTTTATTGTTTTATGGCGCCCTCATAAAGGATGTTGCATAATAGATGGGGGTTGATAAGACTTTACATATCTGACCTTTGACCCTTTTATCTTTTATGACTTGTATGTTTTATAGTTTTTATGACCCTCTCATAAAAGATGTTGCACAATAGGGGGGTGATAAGACTTGATTACCCCTTTGATGTGAAACCTGTTAGAGTGTCTTAGTAGGTCATTATTTGTCAATGATAAAACCAGATATAGTTAATGATGATAGTATGACTTGTTTAGCTGTTTTATAGCCCCCTGATAAGGATATTGCCCAATAAGGGGGTGATAAGACGATGGGGCCTTTGATGTGGCACCTGTTGTAGTATCCCCCTAGTAAGCTATTATAGTCATTGATGATAGTATGACTTGTTTCGGTCACTTGTGGTGGGTGTAATGCCCTCTATAAGGTAGTGTTCTTTAATAGGGGGTAAATATTACTTATTGACTCTTTTGTGGTAACATAAGGTTATATGACATTTTATTGTTTAATTACTTTATCAACTATAAGGAAGTCCCTTTGAAGTTGTGTTTCCCTGGATGATGGAAATAGTCTAAGTGCCATGTTAGGGGGACATCACGGAGCTCAGGAGTCCGCCTTTTGAGGTTCTTGGAGCGGACAAAGAGAGGTGTATTTACTGGTGTTGATCCCTGGATGATGAAAATAGTCTAGGTGCCATGTTCAAGAGTCAGCCATTTGAGGCTTTGTTAACATTGATGCTTTTTGCTTTATTTGTGTTACTAAGATACTTTTAGATGTGCAATACTTTTACAACTGGTAGAATATTAAATACTTTGTAAGGAATTGGCTTTCTTTATAGGCAGTTTGTGATTTTTAGGGCTGGTTCAGTGAGACAATGCAGTTTTGATAATTTCAAGTTTCAAGGCTTTTATTGTCATCTGCACATTAGCTACAGTGTAGATATGGCAATGAAAAACATAGGTCACAGGCTCCTCCAACAGTGCAACAGATAAAATACTGCAATATAATGTTTTGAGATGACAGATCTGTGCGTAATTCTCTCACAAAGGAAATGTAAGATACACGTTTATGTATTCAAAACCTTAAAAACTAGAAAATAAAATACTTTGTCTGAATAGATTTTAATGCTATTTCAGTGGAACAATTCAGTGTTAACATCAATGCTTTTTTCTCTTTTCTTGTGTTACTAAGATACTTTGATGTATGCAACCCTTAACAACTGGTAGAATATGAAGTACTTAGGAATTACTAAGAAATTGGGTTTCTTTTAATGGCCGTTTTTCTATTTTTACACTTGTTCAGTTAAACAATGTAGTTTTTTAGTTATTTTCTGCTACCAAGATTTTTTTTTTATATACACTTTTATGTAGGAACATTTTACAACTGGTAGATTGTCAATTACTTTTACAATTATTTTTATTTTGAAATGCAGTTCCTGACGGACGCCAACAAAGCCAGAGATTATGGAATTAAACCAATAAATAAAAGCAAGGATAATTGTGTGTTATTGGTGAGTAAATAACAATGTGTTATTTTGAAAAGAATAACAAATTAGAAGGAAAAAAAGATTTAAAAAATACAGATTTCAGTATCCTGAGGCTCTGAGCCCCATTTATTTTCCTCACAGACGGCAACAAAAGTCCGAAATTATACGATTTCAAATAAAAGCAATAACTGTGGCTTGATATTGAGTAAGAACATGTTTTTATGAACCACACAGCTTCCGGTCTTCCTCGACCCGACCGGAGAAAAAGACGTGCTGCAGGCAGTAGAAATACATTGCTTTTAAAATCGTGCTGTGCAACACGAAAAAAAGGGGCAAATCGTGTTGGTGAACACGAATCAATAGATTAAAAATCGTGTTGGTGAACACGAAATGCCGTGAGACTGGGTTGCTCTGACCCCCCTTGCTGGATTTTGACATGTGACATATCTTTCTGACCGTCAGAGCCAATGCCTAGAAGCTCCGTAAAGGTACGTGTTGTGATGTCTGTGTTTGCTTCCCCTGTCGCGAGTCCGCATCACTCAGTGATGATACTATACCTAAATAATCTGTGGAACCTCAGCTTTAATCGGATATCTTGTATGTGCAGCTACGATAAGTAATAAGGGTACTTTTATCTTGAGTTCTGTGCCAATGTCCGTTATCATTTTTCGCTAAGGGGTCATTTAGATGCTTCTTATGAGACTTGTGTTTTGTTTTGGTAAAAATGGTTTGTATCGTCAGTTAGCTGAGATTATTCCCGTTAATCTGGTATAACACATTAATAGGTTCTTAAATATTAAGATCCCCTGAGACACAGTGTCGTGAAAAAAAAAACAGGGTCCCCGCCGACGGGGACCTTGGGGTTTAAATGATTTTTGCTTTTTTGCTTTTTTTTCTCCTACAAAGATACTTAGTTACACTTTAATGCATGCAAAACTTTACAACTTGGTAAAATATGAATTAACTTGTAATGAATTGAGTTTCTTAAAGGATCAAACTCTAAATGGAAAGTTTTGGATTTTAAAACTGTTTCGGTGAAACAATGCAGTTTTGATAACTTTAATAACCTGACTTTTTTTAAATGTTTTTTTATTCTAACATAACATAACTGTTTTCAACATGCTGTTTTCATATGTTCCACATACTGAGCTATTTTTTCCCTGTATGACTTTGTTCATTATATTTTGAAAAACTACACAGAGATTTGTTATCAACATACAACTCATTTTTTGTGAAATATTTCAACACACTTTACCTGTACCTTCTTTTCTTTTTTGTAGGGTTGCAGGATATTTTGCACGTCATGCATAAAACCTCTCATCTTTCTTGAAACTGCATTTGAGAAAAAAAGACGTGCTGTCCTTTTTACAAACAAGTTATTTTTCTACTTCTTCCTCACCCGTGTCTCTTCTTTCAGTCATCACAACAATCAATTCAGATCTGTCAAATTAATCATCTACCTCTTCCTTTTCCCCCACCCTAGGGTCCAGAGTCAAAACACCTCCCCCCCTTCTTTTATATCCCTTTCCTGTTTTATGGTCAGTCCCTGTGACTCTGTCTCTGGCAGGTGCCCCCACACTGTTGGTTTAAACAAAAATAAGTAATCTTTCAGATAATTTAGTTCCTTTCTCACAGTATGGGTTTTAAAAAAGAAGAAGAATAGACATCATAATTATCAGACCCCAATGTTATATGTTGTTAGAAAACACTCGTGACCACCAGAACATAAAAACAAAACATTTGGTCACTGTCAGTCATCAGTTCCAAGTAGTTTGATATGTCCAGACATATCCAAGATGCCCGACCGCAAATACTTAAAGAAAATAAGCCATGATACCTGGATATACCATACTATTACTTTTTGTTTTTGTTGTTGATACATTCGAAAATATTATAATGACTATTTGACATATACCAGGGCTATGCAATTGGCGGAGGTAATATATACTGGCCCTTTGAGTAGAATGCTAAAAAGTAAGCTAGTTCCTGGCTGTAGTTTGCACTTTCATTGTTCTGAATGAGAGATAAACCTCTTACATGTGAACGTTTTGTTGAAGAACCATAACAGATATCGGGTGAAATTTCAACACGTGAAGCATCTCAAGAACTCTGAGCATCTGAAGTGTGCTTTTTGTGTACTTTCGGGTTAATAATGTGGCCTTTTTGGCAGATTAACTAAAGGTGTGCGGCTGCTGCTGTGAGGAAAGATGAGCCTGAATGTACAATGGGCTTTAATGGAGACATGTTGAACGTTGTGTCACTTCATGCCCTCAAGAGGCATTTTGTTTAATTTATTTTAATTTTTCAAGCTACGAGATGTTTTCCTACGTTTCTCATGAAAGATTATGTCTCAGGAGTGTAGGGTTTGGGAATTATGGCAGTTTTAAAAAAAATATGAAGGCGAATTTCAATCTGTCCTCCACTCTAGCTGTGACATCACACACTCTAAATCTGAAGAAGGCCTCTTTAACAAGGTCTGAACAATGTTTAATATCTCTAAAAGTATGAATCTGATTTAAAAATTGTGTAACACGAATAATGTCAGAAAGATATGTAACATTTTAAAGTTGGAATGAGGTTTCTGAGTGAAAGTATGAATGAACAGTTAGCAGTTGAAGTTGCATGAAGATTGTTCAAGTCTGAAGAGTTTCTCCATTGACTTCCACGTTAAAAATTTGATGAATTATGGGATGTATCTATATAATTATGAAAGTTATGAATAATAAAAGTAATAGCAATCGATTCACGACCGAGCTGAACGTTTTGATGTTTGAACGGAGTTTCTGCTATGTGGAATGTGGGAGAAGAAGAGCAGCAAAATAACCCGGAGGAATAATAATAAAGAATTTCGTGCGTCGCATAACAAGTAGTTGGAATGCTGTATCAGCATTCCAACTAAATAAACAAACAAGTCATAAAAGATAAGAGCGTCAAAGGTCAGATGTCAGAGTGACAGGTGCCACATCAAAGGGATTTGGAGGCGGGACTAAGGTTTATGAGGTACTTAATCTCATTCGAACATTTGCGGTAGTCTTATAACTACTGATGAATACATGAAGACTTGTGACTTGGACTCTTCTTGGGTGACTTGGACTTGGACTCAAACACAGGTAATGATGACTCGGACTTGACTTGGACTTCTTGGGTGACTCGGACTTGGACTCGACTCCGACACTCCCTAGGTGACTTGGACTCGGACTCGAAAAGTGGGGACTCGAGAGTGACTTGGACTCTGGAATTGGTGACTTGACTACAACACTGGTAAAATATACATATTGTCTGGAAATTGTCTTGTTTTCTGAATAATACTAACTGTGCTTTTATTACATAGTGATTCACCCGGTCAAGCAGCTGCACTGCGCCCATGATGTGCACAGGTAGGTTTTAGTGAACCTGATGATCCAAACTGCTAATAAGATGTTAATAAGTGTTTGTTATTAATATTCAATTTCACAACATCGCTCTTTGTCTCTCTGGTGGATGTTTCAGGGTTGATCCGTGGAGAGTAACAGCAGACGCCTGTTAACCTACCGAGGATAAAAGACATGAGGCCTCTGGATTGGGTCTCAATAATTTTTTTTAAGTTCTTATCTCTGTTGACTTTGAGTGTTTTCTAGTGTTAGCATAATAAGGTTCCCTAATTCATGTCATTTAAAAATCCTATAAAAAAAATCAGTTTGATGAAAAGCTTAGGTTTTATAGCCCATAAAGGAATATCTCCATGTCAATAGCGACCCCCAAATCCACTCCACCCCTGCTTTCGTGTGCATCAGCATTTTAGTTGTCTGTCAGAAGCTTTCATAAATATGTACGTTTGAATCAGCACACTTTTTACTAAACACTTTTTTAACTAACAGGCTCTTACCCTAGCTCAGGCAACAGGACTTCTTGGCAGATTTATGTCCGATTCTAGGACGAAAATCAGAGTACCAATGTTTGGCAATGTAAGAGAACGTACAGATCAACTATGAAACGTTAAACCTCCAGAACTGTTTGCAGAGAAGCTAAGGTAACTTTGCATTAGCTTGTAGCCTCTCTGGCTTTTATCCATCAAGGAAACACTAACTTTAAAAGTAAACTGCTTTATTCAGTGCTGAAGCAGCTTTACTCTCTGGGTCAGTTTGCTTTGGAGAGGAGGAGAGACCCCTGGGAACATTTTGACCATAATGGCAAACTACGAGTTGCTATGCTGTCTTTGGTTAAGTTTGAATGAGATCCCCCAGTGAAAAAGTCCTTGTTTTGCTTTTAGTGATTTAATAGTTGTTATGTCTTTTTAATATATGTATTTTCAGGTTTTGAATATGTTTTTCTTTCGTTTATCATTGTTTGACAAGTGTATGCTGACATTTTAATTAATTAATTAAATCCTCAACCTTGATCACAGCACTGCTGGAGATGATAGACTAGGATTCTCAAAGAATGATTTGTATCTGTGAATTCATGGTTTTTTTGGTCTTTTTTCATTCATTTATGAGAAATAAAGAGATCTAGATGATGGCTTATCTGGTTCCTTGTTATTAACTTTTTTTTTTGCACACCAATTCTTAATGCATACATGTATTTGATGTGGTATACACTCCAATAAATCAATAATATTCACTTGTATTGTTCATGTTCTTTTTTGTTCTAATGATTTTCCATTTCTTGCTCTTCCTGCCAAATAGGTTCAGTAGGGTGGGTCTTTTTTAATTTATGATGGTATAGTTATGGAGTCAGTATGCTTTTTAATGTCACCAACGTGCTTACTGATTGGTCCCAAAGTTTATAACCATTCCTATTAGTTATTTTCAGTTTTCTGAAGCAGCAAAGCCACCTTATAAACATACTAATATCTCTTTGAAGCATGAAATGTGACATCCTTACTAAACTCAACAATAAACGTTAAATATAAAAGTTGAATCAGAGAGAGAAAGAACAATACCGGCCATCACACACAAATTATGTTGCAATGAAACACTGTTTTCACAAAGTGGCTGATCTTGCACGCCTTAATGTTAGTTTCTCAGTTTGCGTTACTGGCACCAGACCTAGGGGTAATCTGGACCAGCAGCAAGGGTTACACAGGCTAGGGAGCACTGTGTAGCCAAGACATAAACAGTATCTGTGGTAGAGAGAGGACCAAAGTTAACGTCCTCCTCAGGTCACAGCTTGTTTCTTTCTGACATGCTCATGATCTGAGCTCCTGGCTATAGGCTCCCTAATGGATCCACAGCAGAGCCAGAGCGCCATCTACTGACGTTACAGTATATTGTCTAAATGTTAGGAGTTTGAAGTGTGTTGGGAAGATTTTATTATTAATAAAAAGTAGGGAGGGTGTATGTTTAAGTAAAACTTAACATATACTGTAGCATTTCCAACCTGCTACATTTTCATTATTCTTTCGGAAGTTTGTCTTTTTAAGGTGTGTGCAAGGTCAAGAAAAAACTTCTGACAAGTAAATCTCCCTCTCCAAGTGGCTTAATGACTTTATACGTAGGCCAGATTATAACAAAACATTATCTTAAACTGAATCCTTTCAAACCACATGACCAGAAATGTTGCTAAAACCATAAAACGAAATTAAAGCAAGTAAGAAGAAAAGTATCTAGATGTATGTTCATGTACTTTAAAGGACTAAAACAAAATCACTTCCATCAAGACCCACAGCAAAGCATCATGAGACCTTTATCCGTCATGTCTAGAGCCTAGATGATTCAGAATTGATTCTGGTCATCAAAAAACACTATTTTGGATTAAAAAAACAAAAAAAGGAGTGTCTTGTTTTTTCATTCATGTATGAGAAATAGAGAGATCTAGATGAAGGCTTATCTGGTTTCTTGTTATTTATTTATTTTCTCCACACCTATTCTTATTGCATACATGTATTTGATGTGGTATACAGTCCAATAAACACATACATTTCACTTGTATTGTTCATGTTCTTGTTAAAGGATCTATCTGCTCTAGGTTTTTAATAACATACATTTCTATTGTCAGATAAACAAATAATTTTCCATCTGCTCTTCCTGCTAAACCGGTTCAGTATAGGGTGCAGCTTTTTAAATGTATAATGAGTAGTAATGTAATCATGCTTTTTAATGTCACCAACATGCTACTTACTTATTGGACCCAAAGCTTACCACTTTTAGTTATTTTTGTTTATTTCTGTTTTCTGAAGCAGCAAAGCCACCCTATACACATACTAATATCTCTTGGAAGCATGACATTTGACATCCTTACTCAACTTACTCCAGTGTTGAATGTTCTTTACAATAACAACAGTAAACGTTAAATATAAAAGTTGAATTAGAGACAGAAAGAACAATACCAGGCATCACACACAAATAATGTTGCAGTGAAACACTGTTCACAAAGTGGCTGATCTGGCACGCCTTAATGTTAGTTTCTCAGTTTGCATGATTGTTTCAGAAGTTTGTCTGTTTCAGGTGTGTGCAATGGTGGTAGTTTTAAACAATTTGTCCACACTGAAATAACAATTTCGACACACAAATGGCTTTCAAAAACACAACAAAATGAAGGATTCCTCATATATTCCCTAACCCTGCTTTTGTATGGCGTAAGGAACTGATGAGGCCTTCTTCATATGATCTAAAGATGTGTGCCAGGATTTTTGAAAGATTTGTGTCAGCAAATGTCTTAAAGTCATACTGCTTGAGATACATTGGAACAATTTTCAGGTTACCTCTTGACACTGGCACTAGGTGTAGTAAACCTTGGATTCAGGATGATTGCAATGGATTCAAATATGGTCTTGTGAGCAAAAAATAAATGGTATAAATCTCCCTTACCATGTGTTTTTTTTAGGGCTGTCAGTCGATTAACATATTTAATCGCGATTAATCGCATGATTGTCCATAGTTAATCGCGATTAATCGCAAATTAATCGCACATTTTTTATCTGTTCTAAATGTACCTTAGAGGAATATTTTTCAAATTTGTAATACTCTTATCAACCTATGAGTGGACAAATATGCTTTATGCTAATGTTTATTATCATTTGAACAATGACAAATATTCTCATGAATATTAAACACAACAACCTCTGAACATTACAAATATTCGCCTCAATTCAACCTGGAACCTCTCTCATTCAATAATACAATACAAATTGTGAAATTGTGTGTGTGAGTGTGTGTGTGTGTGTGTGTGTGTGTGTGTGTGTGTGTGTGTGTGTGTGTGTGTGTGTGTGTGTGTGTGTGCGTGCGTGCGTGCGTGCGTGCGTGCGTGCGTGCGTGCGTGCGTGCGTGCGTGCGTGCGTGCGTGCGTGCGTGCGTGCGTGCGTGCGTGCGTGCGTGCGTGCGTGCGTGCGTGCGTGCGTGCGTGCGTGCGTGCGTGCGTGCGTGCGTGCGTTGGAGCTATGTGCAACTCAAGGCATATGCTCGAACGGGAGCTGCCTGGACGCTGCAATCATGTTGCGCACTATCCGTGCTGAGTGTGCTGACTTTTCGTAAAATAAAATAATTTCAGAGATGTGTACTCAGTTATTTGTGCTTATCTTATCACTATCACTTGAATAACCCTTTATTTTTCTATTAAAATATCATAACTCTCACAAGAAGTTATTGTGTTGATTAAAACAATTATTTGTTTACTTTCCAGTTGCTATTCTTAATCATGGATGATTTTGTTTGCAACAAATTAACTGAATGGAATCTCAGCGAATGGATACAAATATTTAAAGGTAAAGTATTCCCTTGCTTTTTGTTGGGCAAAAATATTATTCAAAGTCAATATGACCTTCCAATACTGAAATATCTAAGCATCTACTTGAAGACACATAAACTGCCTCAACATCATTACTCAGTAACTTTTTGACATATCGCTGACATACTAAACAATCATAAAGACTTCATCTTCACACAGAGAAGAAACTATTAAATATTAACTTCAGAGTAACTTATTTTCTGTAGTGTCTTTTCAGCAGCACTGAAATCAAGACAGAAAATAACAAATAACACAATATTACCAATATGAATTCAGTTCAGACAACCTTATGAGGCTGTAATGCTCTTTAAAACATATTTTCAACAGCTGAACTCACATTTCACTCCATGCGAAATACACATCTACAGATATTTGCAATTGGTTGACATTTCTTAATTACATTTTTTTTTTTACAGATCAGGGCGTTGACAAGGAAAATCTTTACTGTCTGGAAGATCAAGAAATTCTTGCTTTGATCCCATTAGCAGGACCACGGTCAAAATTCAAAAAGAAACTCAGGTTGTTAATAAAGGTAATGTCTGCATTTGTATTATTTGGTCTCATTAATCTCAATAAATACAACATCTACATACAAAGGAGTATAATATATCTTATTGACTTTACTATAATTTTATAAAAGTTCTTTACCATTATGGATTTGAGACAATTTTCTTTTCTAACTAGGAGGAACAAAACACAACAGATCCGGAAACATCTGAATCTTCTGTTGAAGTTAGTTGAATGCAGTTTAATTCACTTTTTATATTGTCATTGTCTGTTCAACATTTGACACTTGATAGCCATTTTTGAAGTATATATTATTTTCCATAGAGTTTTGAATGGGAAATTAAATGCAAATGTTGGTGTGTGTGAATTGTGACGACGTGTGTTCAAGCCTGTAGCACCCTGTGAGAGGACAAAGAGTCAAATGTTCATGTTCATCCTCAGGTTTGTCCGTCCACCAGCAAAACAAATGATAAAGGTGAGATACAAAGTGTCTTATGGATTATATGCAGTTTTATTTATATTTTATAAAAAATAATAAACCTGCTTTATCCAAACAATGTTGAGACACATTTTTTATTTTTTCAAAAAACAAGGAAAGAGGAAGTTGGATCTCCAGGGTGAGTCCAGCCAATCACCAGCCGGAAAACGAGCATGTGAGGATATACAAGTTACACAAAGAGGTATTTATATTACTTTCCAAAATAATAGAAGCTAGGGTTAATAAGTATAATATGTTTAATCTTTTATTGTTCAGGAAATTAATTTACATATATGTAGCAACACAGGTCTTATTAAGTTATAATGGCCTTAAACTGGAAGATACTTATCATAGTATACATGATGAAAATGATACTTTCAGGTATTCTTGATTGCTTCATTGGGAATACATCTTAATGGATATACTGGTTATTGGTTCCTTCTGAATAGTTATTTTCCTTTACTCTTACAGAAGAAGAGATTCTGTCTGATGTGAAAAACATCATGAGATGTGTCAACCAGAAACTACCTAAACAAGACAACAAGTTTAACAAGTTCCTGAAGTAAGTATTAGTGCTTTCGAGCAAGCGGAAAGAGTTTAAAGAGACATAGTAAACGAAATGATACAGCACTGAGGACACTTGTGGTTTGTTAAAGTCTAAATACATTTAACTCAGAAAATGAGTCTGAAGTCCGTACATGAAGATGGATTTTTTCTTGATTTTTACACACTCTTTTAGTGTTTGTTACATTTGATCAATAATCCATATTCAAACTCTTGCACAACAGAAATAAAATAAAAGATTTGGAGACAGACAAAAGGGAGGTGGTCGGTGTCTTTGGTAAAACGGGGGCTGGAAAGAGCTCTCTGATAAATGCCGTCATTGGAGTGAAGGATCTCTTGCCCTCTGGAAGAATCAGTGCATGTACCTCAGTGATGATTGAAGTGGAGGCTAACATGCCTAACCCAAAGTATGAGGCAGAAATCGAGTTCATTACAAAAGAGGTAAAATAAGCTAAATGTTTGTTAACTTTTATTTCAACTTTTATGATGAAGCTGCAAATAAATATATATATGCTGACTACACAACATGACATATAATAAAACATAATAGGTTTTTTTAGGAGTGGGAAGAGGAGTTGAATCATTGTCTTGGTAATAATGATGATCAGGAAAAAGGCGAAGATTATCAAGACAGTGTTGAAAAGCTGTCAGTGCTGTATGGAGAAGAATGGAAAAACAAATCTCCTGAAAACTTCTTGGATAAAAAATACTTCAGAGAAATTCCTGAATTTCTCAATTCCAAGAGTATGATTTTGACAAAGGATACAGTAAGTAAGACTAACACTTATATCATTTCATTAAACATACTCTTGGTTGGTGTTGTTTCACGACAGAACACCAAATGCGAACGTAAATTCTGTATGTAATCAAAAAAATGAGCTTGATCAATTCGGGCTCTAATAACAATAACTACAAAACCACATCTAATGTATGCATCATAGGAAAGAAAATGTATACCAGTAACTAACTTGCTTGCAACAACCTAGATATTTTAAGGCACTACCAGCTTTAAATTTGAAATCATATTAAAAATGTCAAACCTAATTATTCCCCATTACTAAGGGTTGCTACTTTTTGATTTAATTCAGATGTAGTTGTTTCAGGGATAGAGATTCAAATTGACTTTTAATGTTATGCTGTAATAATTATTTAACACAATCTTTTAAAGCAATTTCAAGTTAAATTATTTTCATGTAAAAGAAATGGCCTTGCATTGCCTCTTGTTTTATTATTTAATTTAGGCTGAAGACTTATCTGCAGATGTGGTCAAATACACACGAAGTGAGTCAAAAGACGTGAAGAGGTGGTATTGGCCACTGGTGAAGTGTGTGACTGTCAGGGTGCCGAAGAATCGTCTTCTCCAGCACGTCACACTTGTGGATCTTCCTGGAAACGGGGACCGTAACAAGAGCAGAGACAGGATGTGGAAAAAGGTGATTAATCCACATGCAATGCTGATTATTGTGGAAGGTTACACTGACGATGTAACCATTATTATTTGCTGTATTCCCCTCCAGCTTGTTGGAAGTTGTTCTACTGTGTGGATTGTGGCTGAGATAAATCGAGCAGCTTCTAAAAAAGAATCCTGGGAGATCCTGGAAGAATCCTGCAGCCTCATGGGAAATGGTGGCGAGTGTCAGCAGATTCATTTTATCTGCACCAAGTCTGATGAAATTGGAGGTTCAGGAAATCAGTAAGTGCCGTGGTTTAAGATGCCAAAAGTACACAGTTAAATGTACCATTCAATTTAGACACTGACGCTTGAGACGGAGATGGCCAAGAGGATAAACCTTGGAAACATTGATTACGTTAACAGGCACATTAGTATCCTGGTTTTGATCGTATTCAGGGATATAATGTTCACTTGAAACAGGATAAACCAGGTTATTCATAATCATAACAGTATCCGTGTTTCTAAAATGTCTGCATGTGTGTCTTGATTCCTCAACATCTCAGCCATTTATTTCTGTCCTAATGTTGTTGCTTCACAAACACTTTGTGATGCTGGATTAAGCTCCTCCATGTGGTTATTGAAATAATAACATTATAATAATAATAATAATAACAAAATAAGTAAGCTGAATATACTAAAATGTTGTGTACAAATTGTAAAGTCAAAGACAGACTGCTTACCAGCCTACATGTAATGTTACCTGTACAGCCAACAAGGTAATGGATTTTCTGAGTTTTTGTACTTGTTGTTGTAATGGCTTGAGAAAAAAAGTCCCTTATTGAATTATGGTTGTATTGCTTTAAATAATGAATGTGTTGTGTATGGTTTCAGGCTGACATAAAGACGCCTGTGTCCATAGAACTTGAAGAAAAGCTGAGTCATGAACTTGATAAAGTCAAGAAACCCATGGACGAGACCCTAATGGCTTTTGAAAAATGCCTCAGTGAGGGGGTTGAAAAATCAAAAAGTTCATGTGAAAAAGTCTTAAAGTCTGTCCTTTATCCTAAAGTAAGTATTTAAGTTATAATTAAATCAAAACAAATGATTGCTCTTAATATGAATATGTCTCTTACAACATTTGTTTTGTTTCAGACAATAAAAGGTGGTGCATTTCACAAGATATTGAAGTGTGTCATTGAGAAGGGTGGCATCCACAAACCAAAAAAAGGGAAATCAATAAACATCAATATGAAGTTAACTTCATGTTTGACCGACAGCCTTGACGAGGAATTTAAGAAGACCTTCCCGTAAGAAATTACATAATAAACAAATAAACCCCTGTGTTGGATATATTGTGTTTTATAATACATTTAAATACATGATTGAAATACAAATTTGTTAAGGCCTTATGAATTTAAGCATTTCCTCTTGTTTAAAACTGAGCACTTTAGTTCCCCTGCATCATTTTAAAACTCAGCTGGGTGACATGCTGTTTGATACTCATGGTACCTGTCTCTGTAAATAGAGTTTGTAAACTGTACCCTGTACATTATGTTGTATGTCATCCTTATTGTTGTTCTGTTGTTTTTATGTTACATGTGTAACTAATGTCCTGCAGGTCACCCTTGAAAAAGAGATCTTTTGATCTCAAGGGGCTTTCACCTGGTTAAATAAAGGCTAGAAAAAAAAAAATATATATATGTTTTAGAAATGAAGGAAACAGTGGACCATTCAACGGGGTCTTCAATGCGTTTTCACTTGGCACAGAGGAGAAGATGAAAAAGGAGTGCGAAAATGTCAAACTGCAGCTGACATTTCTCAAGACAGAGGTAAAAGATCCTATTCATTAGACGTTATCAAATATGTTTGTAAAGCCAGGGAGACTGTAGTGGAAGGGTGAGCAATATTATTAAATATAATACATTTTGATCAGTCAACATATTCATATACATTGTACTGGAATAACTCAATATGATCTGGAGATGGCTTTCAAAAGTTAACTGCAGCTGTAAAGCGGACCGTGCCCCAAGTCATGAAGACACACTCAAGATTACAATAGAATATTCTGATATTGGGCAAAGTAATGCAATCATGCTTTTTAATGTCACCAACGTGCTACTTACTGATTGGTCCCAAAGTTTACCTCCATTCCTATTAGTTATGTTTGTTTATTTCTGTTTTCTGAAGCAGCAAAGCCACCCTATACACATACTAATATCTCTTTGAATCATGAAAGTGACATCCTTACTCAACTTACTCCAGTGTTGAATGTTCTTTACAACAACAGTAAACGTTTAATATAAATGTTAATTTCTCAGTGTGCGTTACCAGCACCAGAGCTAGGGGTAATCTGGACCAGCAGCAAGGGTTACACAGGCTAGGGAGCACTGTGTAGCCAACATATAAACAGTGTCTGTGGATTGGTAGAGAGAGGACCAAAGTTAACGTCCTCCTCAGGTCACAGCTTGTTTCTTTCTGACATGCGCATGATCTGAGCTCCTGGCTATAGGCTCCCTAATGGATCCACAGCAGAGCCAGAGCGCCATCTACTGACGTTACAGTATATTGTCTAAATGTTAGGAGTTCGAAGTGTGTTGGAGAGATTATATTATTAACAAAAAATAGTGTCTGTTTAAGTCAAACTTAACATATAGCATTTCCAACCTGCTACATTTGCATTATTGTTGCAGAAGTTTGTCTTTTTAAAGTGTGTGCAATGGTGATTAGGCTGCTGTTGGTACCAGTATAACATGTCAAGAAAAAACTTCTGACAAGTAAATCTCCCTCTCCAAGTGGCTTAATGACTTTATACGTAGGCCAGATTATAACAAAACATTATCTTAAACTGAATCCTTTCAAACCACATGACCAGAAATGTTGCTAAAACCATAAAACGAAATTAAAGCAAGTAAGAAGAAAAGTCTCTAGATGTATGTTCATGTACGTTAAAGGACTAAAACAAAATCACTTCCATCAAGACCCACAGCAAAGCATCATGAGATCTTTAACCGTCATGTACTCCCCTGCTGCTTCAGTCAAGGTTTCAGTGTAAATACTGTATAGGCTATCTATAGCCAAGAAGATTTAAATTCAGAATTTATTTTGGTCATCAAAAAACACGATTTGGCATGAAAAAAACAAAAAAAAGGTCTGTTTTTTTTTATTCATATTATGAGAAATAGAGAGATCTAGATGGCTTGATTGGTTTCTTGTTATTCACTTTTTTTCTCCATGCCTATCTTAATGCATACATGTATTTGATGTGGTATACACTCCAATGAACCAATACAATTCACTTTTATTGTTCATGTTCTTGTTAAAGGATCTATCTGCTCTAGGTTTTTAATGACATACATTTCTATTGTTAGATAAACAAATAATTTTCCATTTGCTCTTCCTGCCAAATCGGTTCAGTACTAGGGTGCAGCTTTTTTTATTTATGATGAGTAGCCTAGTAATGGAGTCAGTAGGCTATGCTTTTTAAAGTCACCAAAGTGCTACTTACTGATTGGTCCCAAAGTGTACCACCCTTATAGAGACCTCATGTAGTGTTTGAGAATTGAAGAGTTGTTTCACATTTTAAACTTCTTAATTCTACCCTATGAGGTTAGAATTATAGAAACACTTGACATACAAATACCCACATGATTAGAGAAAATGATAACTTTAACAGGGAATAGGATAAGGGTTTACATTTCAGACACAAATGCAGTTCAAATTGCATTAAAATAACACATGATTAATTTAGTGTGGGAGGAGTAACGTTCTGCACCTATCAGCGGAAACAAAAATACTTTAAGTTGCGTTTTCAAGGTTGGGTTGGGCAGTTATTGGGATACTAAGCGAGAGACTCCTTTAACCTGCTTTTGGCTTCATATCAACAGGCTGTACGCTACGGGTAAGCTTTGGAACCATTCATATTATTTTGTTTCATTGTTAAGTTTGTAAGTCATGTTCTGAAATTATTTGTATGTTAAAGTGTTAGGGCTTCTTGTTTGGTTGCTACCTTTGCCACAGGCTCTTGAAAAACACATTAACATTAAATTAGTTTCAAAACCAACGCACGTGTTTTTGTTTGTTTTGTAAGGGAGCTGTATATTCTGTTTACGTGGTGCTACCTGTCCGTCTGAAGTGACTGCCGATGACTGTCCGCACCGCTGTGCAGGCGACGTGGAGGGAGGGAGGGATGTAGGGAGGGTAGAAAGAGCATCGGTTCTTGACAGTCTAATCTCCCGACCTGATATATATTTTTTTTATTCAATCAATATATTTTTGGAAAGGGAAACGTTGCGCAGACAGGAGTAGATATATAAATTCATTTATTAAAAATATATATTTAAAAAATGACTTTCTCTGGAGGAAGAACAAGGCAAGGGCTCAAGCCCACTTTGATATCTGTGCACGTGCCTGGTGGTATGTACGTGTTTTGTACCATGTTGTTCTGTGTTTCTGCTTTAACCCTTAGATGCACGAGTGACTACACTCTTCCATAAGTGGGTCTAAAAGGACCTGTATTAGAATAATATGTGTTTTTATGCCATTTTTGTCATTTTGGTTATGAAAAATCACTTGTATAATATTTAGTATTATATTTTGGTTCGCATTAGAAATATTTTATATTTAATTTTTTGTAGAATAATTTATAATTTTAGAAATTGTTTTTACATTTTCAAAAAAAACGTTTTGAACATATTGATGCAAAGATATCCGCTATTTTGAGACCCTCACAGTATTCCAGTCCCTTTTCAAAACTCATCTCTTCTCCTCTTGTCTACTCATAGCCCCCCCCCCCCCCTATTTTGAGACCCTCACAGTATTCCAGTCCCTTTTCAAAACTCATCTCTTCTCCTCTTGTCTACTCATAGCCCACCCCCCCCCCCCCCCATCAATCAATGCCGGTTGATTAAGTTTGATAGTACTATACCCCCCACCAGGCGGTTCTACGGGGTGGCACGGGGTGGCAGCTGCCACCTCAGAAAAATGCCTTGCCATCCCAGTTGGCAGCTTTGTTCTGAAAGAAAAGTTGTGGCTCATCGGACATTTATGAGAGAAAATCTCTAATGTCCGAGTGCAAGTGAATGCAGCACAAGACGCGAGCCTTGTAACCCCTCCCCCGGCCCTGGCGCGAGCGTGGAATTATGTATGGCAGCGATTTAATTTGGACAGGGGACAGCACAAAACGAGAAGCATTTCGGATCCAAGTAGACGGAAGGAATGAGGTATTTGCGGTCTACAATGACAAAGAAGAGCCTGTCAAGTTTGGCTGTACTCAGCATTGAATCAAAACGCACCATAGCTTTAAATCTTAATAAGTTTGTGAGGCGTTTTGCTGATCAAGATGATAATCGCCACATTCAGCTGTAATAGACGTGCCAACTTGATGCTCTGCTCACGGATGAGTCGATGAGAATAATAAACTGTTAAGATGATGACCTTACGTGTGTATAATATTGTTCTTCTTTGTGGCGGTCTGCCCCCAAAAAACAGTTTCAAGTCCTGAGAAAGTCAAATAAGACGGTGTGTAAAACTACACTGCCCAGCCAAAAGAAAGTAACCACTTTGATTTAACTAGGCCAGTAGGTAAGGACTTTCCACTGGATAATAACTGTATATACTTCAACAAATATAGTTTATTTAATAATAACACTGACTATGTGAATCGGTGATTGACAGCTGATAGGAATAATATGATTGTTAATATTATCATATTCATATTCAAACATCGATTAGACAGTTAATTAATGCACTTATTGCAGCAGTCTGCATAGATTGGTACCCCTGCTGGTCTAAAAGTGAGACAAACTCATTCAGTTATTGTTCAGTTAAAATTCATTAAATTATGTCTGCCACCTTATATATTTATATTTAAGACTTTACTGATGTGCCACAATAATGTCACCTAATGTTATTGAGTTAAAATATCAATATTGTGGCTTTCCAAGTTAACATTGATTGATATGACTGCGATTAAATCAGCATATACTTCTGCCAGGGGATGCCACCCCTTAAATTCTCCTGCCACCCTCTTGCCACCCCATGAATATCTTTCTAGATCCGCCCCTGTCCCCCACCCTAACCTTCCCTTATATTGTAAAGCGATTTTGAGTCCTTAAAAAGCCCTATACAAATTAATGTATTATTATACTGACAGGTATCAGATCTTGCTGTGTAAAATAATCTTCCTTAGAGATGTCACTTGTGATGTAGTCTGTGTGGTCTACAGTGAATGTATTCCTGACAGCCACAGGTGATAAGAATCAAAGGTTCCCAGAGGATCCCATAGGAAATGCATGCGGGTCATTTTTGACCAACTTATGGAAGCTTGGGTAATACAAAAACTACAATTTCTTAAAATATAAATTAAAAATGTGAATGCATGATATCCAAAACATGTTTTTTGAGGAATAGCTGGAATATGAAATGATAAATTGTAATTACAAAGATACTTCAAGAAAACCACCTCACCGGGTCCAAAAAGATCCACTTATGCATCTAAGGGTTAAATAAATACAAATTGGAACACAGAAAAAAACAAGAAACCACGACCTTAAAGTCATGTTACTCAACCGAACATAAAAGTGTCATTTAGCAGAAAAGTATCCCAGAGGTATAGGCATATTGTTCGGGAAAAACAACCGCATTGAGTATTTCTGATTTGGCCCTGAATTTGAATATCTTATCCCATTATATTATATCATTAGATTAGTATTATTAATGTTACTGTTTTATTTGGGTGGAATCAAGTTTGGTAGCCTTCAAGACGGTTATAACCACTGAAAAAAGCAGGAAAGCTAACATCTGAGAATCTGGAACCATGACATTTTTACCTGAACATTTAACCAAACAATTATCAGAAAAGAAAATTGCCAATAGATGTTCTGGCATAGATTAGTTCATGATTCAGATGTTAATGTCAGCTGTACTTGTGTTTGACAACAGTTGATCTTTTATTCAGAATACATTTTTTACGTTTCATAGATTCCATTCCACTGGGGAACTTGAAAGCTCATGTTTCTGTTGGGGTGTAGATGAATGCAAATAGTAGGTAAGTAAACAGCTTGCAGGTTCCCCTAAAAAGGAATTTCTGAAATGTGTACTCAGTTATTTGTGCTTATCTTGTGATCACACAATTATGTCCTAAATGCTTCATATAAACACTTTAATTAGGCTGCCATTATCACTTTAATAACCCTTTATTTTTCTATTAAAATATCATAACTCTCACAAGTAGTTATTTTGTTGATTAAAACAATTATTTGTTTACTTTCCAGTTGCTATTCTTAATCATGGATGATTTTGTTTGCAACAAATTAACTGAATGGAATCTCAGCGAATGGATACAAACATTTAAAGGTAAAGTATTCTCTTGCTTTTTGTTGGGCAAAAATATTATTCAAAGTCGATATGACCTTCCAATACTGAAATATCTTAGCATCTACTTGAAGACACATAAACTGCCTCAACATCGTTACTCAGTAACTTTCTAACATACTAAACAATCTTAAAGACTTGTACATTTTCACACAGAAAGGAAACTATTCAATATTAATTTCAGAGTGACTTATTTGCTGTAGCATCTTTTCAGCAGCACTGATATCAAGACTGAAAAATAATAACACAATATTACCAATATGAATTCAGTTCAGACAACCTTATGAGGCTGTAATGCTCTTTAAAACATATTTTCAACAGCTGAACTCACATTTCACTCCATGCGAAATACACATCTACAGATATTTGCAATTGGTTGACATTTCTTAATTTACATTTTTTGTACAGATCAGGGCGTTGACAAGGAAAGTCTTTACTGTCTGGAAGATAATCACATTGTTGCTTTGATCCCATTTGTGGGACCACGGTCAAAATTCCAAAAGAGACTCAGGTTGTTAAAGGTAATGTCTGCATTTGTATGAATTGTTCTCATTCATCTCAAGAAATACAACATCTACATACAGAGAAGTATAATATATCTTGTTGACTTTACTATCATTTTATAAAAGTTCTTTACTATTATGGACTTGAGACTATTTTCTTTTCTAACTAGGAGAAACAAAACACAACAGATCCGGAAACATCTGAATCTTCTGTTGAAGTTAGTTGAATGCAGTTTAATTCACTTTTTATATTGTCATTGTCTGTTCAACATTTGACATGGCCACCAAGAGTATTTATTTTATTCACAATGTAAATGGGAGGAAGCTGTTTCTGCTCAGTTAATGATAACTTTAAATTAACCATGCTTGTTATCATTGAACTTGACTCAATCCTTCATGCATTGATATTTGAAGCATCCTGAGATAAAGTCACCTTTAACTGAAGAACTGTGAACTGTTTAATTTGTGCATAGTGTTGTTCATTCCGTTAAAAGAATGCAGAATGTGATCACTTGATAGCCATTTTTGAAGTATATATTATTTTCCATAGAGTTTTGAATGGGAAATTAAATGCAAATGTTGGTGTGTGTGAATTGTGACGACGTGTGTTCAAGCCTGTAACACCCTGTGAGAGGACAAAGAGTCAAATGTTCATGTTCATCCTCAGGTTTGTCCGTCCACCAGCAAAACAAATGATAAAGGTGAGATACAAAGTGTCTTATGGATTATATGCAGTTTTATTCATATTTTATAAACAATAATAAACCTGCTATATCTAAACAGTATTGAAAACAATGTTTTAATAAAAGAAAATGTTATTTACAAAAAAATTAAACACAAGGAAAGAGGAAGTCGGATCTCCAGGGTGAGTCCAGCCAATCACCAGCCAGAAAACGACCACGTGTGGATATACAAGGAACAAAAAGAGGTATTTATATTACTTTCCAAAATATTAGAAAGTAGGATTAATAGGTGAATATGTGTTTAATGTTTTATTCTTCAGCAAATGAACTTACATATATAGCAACACAGGTCTTATTAAGTTATAATGGCCTTAGACGCCTGCCATAGTATATACATGATGAAAATGATACTTCCTTGGGAATTTTAACTGGTTATTGGTTTCTGCTGAATAGTTATTTACTTTTACTCTTACAGAAGAAGTCATTCTGTCTAAGGTTAAAAACATCATGAGTTGTGTCCTTGATAAACTACCTGACCAAGACGACAAGTTCAACAAGTTCCTGAAGTAAGTATTAGTGTTGTCAAGCCAGATTTTGACAACATCTTTTAGTGTTTGTTACATTTGTTAATTTGATCAATAACCCATATTCAAACTCATGCACCACAGAAATAAAATCAATAATTTGGAGACAGACAAAAGGGAGGTGGTCGGCGTCTTTGGTAGAACGGGGGCTGGAAAGAGCTCTCTGATAAATGCCGTCATTGAAGAGCAGGATCTCTTGCCCTCTGGAAGCATCAGTGCATGTACCTCAGTGATGATTAAAGTGGAGGCTAACAAGCGTAACCCAAAGTATGAGGCAGAAATCGAGTTCATTACAAAAGAGGTAAAATGAGCTAAATATGTTTGTTAACTTAGAGATATTTCAACGTTTATGATGAAGCTGCAAATAAATATATATGCTGACTACACAACATGCCATATAATAAAAACATATGTTTGTTTAGGAGTGGGAAGAGGAGTTGAATAATTTCCTTGGTGATAATCAGGAAAAAGACGAAGATTATCGAGACAGTGTTGAAAAGCTGTCAGTGCTGTATGGAGAAGAATGGAAAGACAACTCTCCTGAAAACCTCATGAATGAAAAATACTTCAAAAAAATTCCTGGATTTCTCAATTCCAAGAGTAAGATTTTGACCAGGGATACAGTAAGTAAGACTAAAACTTATATCATTTCATTAAACAGACTCTTGATTGGCATAGTTTTACAACAGAATACCAAATGCAGACGTCAATTTGGTATGTACTCAGGAAATGGGCTTGATCTATCTCGGCTCTAATAACAATAGCTACAAAATCTACTTTATGCATCATAGGAAAGAAAATATCTAACAGTAACTAACTTGCTTGCAACAACCTAGATATTTTAAGGCACTACCAGCTTTACATTTGAAATCATGTTAAAAATGTCAAACCTAATTATTCCCCATTGCTTAAATATAAACGTAAGCTTTGCTACTTTTTGATTTAATTCAGATGTTGTTGTTTCAGGGATAGGGTTTCAAATTGACTTTTAATGTTATGCTGTAATAATTATTTAAAGGTCCCATGTCATGGCCATTTCTACTGATCATAATTCCATTGTTGAGGTATACTAAAATAGATTTATACTGTGCAATTTTCCAAACTCACATTGGTTTCTCATACAGCATCTCTGTATAGTATGTATTCACCGGTATTCACTCTCTGTCCTAAACGGCTTGTTGGAGCTCCTGCCCCCCCCCCCCCCCCCCCCCCCCCCCCCCCTCCCTCCCTGTGAGCCCAGTGTGCTCTGATTGGTCGGGACGTTGAGAGGCTCGTTGCTGCGATCTCCGCTCCTCACAGCAGATCGCAGCAACGAGCCTCTCGGCGATACAGCGAGAAAAAGCGAAATTCATCCTGAGCACACACAAACACTCACAGCCAAAGTAAAAACAATAAGTGTGGCTTGATATTGAGTAAGAAAAAGGTTTATAACCAGGGCTGCACATAACAGGTGCGCAGGTGCGCATGCGCACCTCCGCCAAAAAAAGTGCACCGGGTCATTTGAAACAAAGCGCATTTGCGTACCAACATTGAGAGAGGGAGAGAGAGAAGGGAGAAGAGAAAATAGAGGAGAGATGAGAGAGAGAGAAGAGAGAGAGAGAGAAAGATATTTGCGAGTTGCATACATGTATGAACCATGATATGAACTCAGGGTCGACCCGTAGCACTGGCTAGATGTTCGCCTAGGGCGCCAGATCTGTGGAGGCGCTGCGCTGGCAGTTCTGGGAGGGAAAACAACATTTTGACCATTGGGGCTCATCCTAATTTTCGGCTTTGATGTAACAATATTCATAATTAAGTAAATGTAACACCCTTTTCACCCCGGTTACACGTTTCATTTGCCCTGTACGATGGGCGCTGTAAGTGATGCAAATGGGGGATGTTGGTTTATCTGGCGCCCGCAGCTCACAGCCAAAATGCGAGTGAGCGAGGGAGGGTGCACCGGTACCAGCGCTGTTGTTATTAGAATCTGGTGCCGTGCTAGCTGCTCTAACGGAGATAAGAAGAAGATGTTTCTACAATAATGTGGAGGGAGAGTCCTCTCCAGTCAGACTGATAACTACAGTTCAGTGAGGTAAAGTCTAAGTTCAAACGGTTTGGTCGCAATTTATGTAAACACATATTTCCAAGGCACTCCTTTATAATTATTGGGATAAACAGGTTTTAAATCATTCCATGGTATACTATAGGACAGTAACCAAAAAATATCCTTTAAAACTGGAGAGATAAAAAAAAATGCATAAATAAATGTTAAGGTAAAATAAGATATGAATGAACAACACAAATAAAATAAGTTACATTCATTTGTTATTGGCTATGGTAGGTTATTGGTTATGTTCACATACTTATTTGATTACATCCACTTGTCTAAGATGACAACAGAGACTTTCGACCCAAAACCAGCTGTTGACTTGTGGGTGCAAGCAGCTAATCGCAGACTCAACCAGAGAGAAAGAAGTAGGCCTACATCATCAGCTACCATGTCTGACAGAGAGGAAGACAGTGAGGAGAACAGTCAGGAGGGTAGTGATGACAGCTTGTAGGATTACTGGTCGTGCTAATGTTGTCTTGTGTTCACCTCTGCATGTGTGTTCTCTGTGCACCTCTGCATGTGTGTCCAGTGCCGTGTGTCTGGCAAATAAAGTCAAGACCCCCTCAAAAGTTACGGTTTATTTCATTTTAAGGATGAGCACCAAGCAACATCTCCAGGTGCTCCTTTGAGAACCAGGGCAAAAAAGTTATGTGCACCCCTGTTTATAACGCTGTGAGAATGGGTCTGCGGAGGGCATTTCTCCGCGATCCCAACTTAGTAGCCCGAAAAACGTTTACCCATGTAAACAGTCGTGGTAGATACCTTGTTTGTTTTAAACATCATAAATACACAAACAACAATGATTGTGTACCCGAATCTCCCGCTGGTACAGACAAAGTAGGAACAGCAGTGTTCTTCAGTGCCCAACGCTGTACATATCCGGCATGAATCGCTGAAAGGTTTGGGAAGGTTTGTTTCGTGAAAGGCTGGCAGAGGGTGTGGCCTCTGGGTATTCACACGTCAGAGTACCCAGGAAGAAAAGGAGAAATCTCCAACGAGGCGTTTTGGGGAGGTCTTTTCTGTGTTTTACTCGCTACATGGTGTACTTTGAGGGTTTTTGACTCTGCAGACCGTTTACATGCATAGAAACCTTCATAACACACAAAGGGGACAGGTAATAACCGGAAAAGCATGACATGGGACCTTTAACACAATCTTTTAAAGCAATTTCAAGTTAAAGTTTGTTCATGTAAAACAAATGGCCTTGCATTGCCTCTATTATTTATTTTAGGCTGAAGACTTATCTGCAGAATTAGTCAAATACACACGAAGTGAGTCAAAAGACGTGAAGAGGTTGTATTGGCCACTGGTGAAGTGTGTGACTGTCAGAGTGCCGAAGAATCGTCTTCTCCAGCACGTCACACTTGTGGATCTTCCTGGAAACGGGGACCGTAACAAGAGCAGAGACACGATGTGGAAAAAGGTGATTAATCCACATGCAATGCTGATTATTGTGGAAGGTTACACTGACAATGTAACCATTATTATTTGCTGTGTTCCCCTCCAGCTTGTTGGAAGTTGTTCTACTGTGTGGATTGTGACTGAGATAAATCGAGCAGCTTCAGAAAAAGAATCCTGGGAGATCCTGGAAGAATCCTGCAGCCTCATGGGAAATGGTGGCGAGTGTCGGCAGATTCATTTTATCTGCACCAAGTCTGATAGTCTTGGAGGTTCAGATGATCAGTAAGTAGTTTCAGATGCAAAAAGGACACAGTCAAATGTAACATCCGATTTAGACACTGACGGAGACGGAGACGGAGATGGCAAGAGGATAAACTATGGAAACATTGATTACGTTAACAGGCACATTAGTATCCTGGTTTTGATCGTATTCAGGGATATAATGTTCACTTGAAACAGGATAAACCAGGTTATTCATGATCATAACAGTATCCATGTTTCTAAAATGTCTGCATGTGTGTCTTGATTCCTCAACATATCAGCCATTTATTTCTGTCCTAATGTTGTTGCTTCACAAACACTTTGTGATGCTGGATTAAGCTCCTCTATGTGATCACTGGTAATTGAAAGTGTTGAGTATGCTGCATAGTGATATGATATCCTGGAATGTATTGGCAGTTTATGTAATTCTTCAAATACAAATCTTTTCATAAAGGTCAGCAGCTGGTGTTCGTGCTCAGATACTGAGAGAAAACGAGCAAGCCAAGAAAGAAGTGATGGCAGAATTCAGCAAACTAAAAGAAGTTAAGGTGAGTAATATTTGATGATAATCAAACTCAAATGTTGTGCAGACCTGCTTTTAAATCTAAACCTTTTTTTTCAGAAACAATTCGGGAAGGAGTGTTTCAAAGTTTTCACAGTGAGCTCCAAAGAGTTCTTGAAAAAGAAAAATCTTAAGCGAAATGACACAGGTGATTCAAGTCTCCATAAGTGAGCCCCGGATGACAAAATGGTTTTATCTCCTCCAATAAATATATAAATTCAAGAATGTAATGTAAGTATATTACATTTTTTACAGAAATTCCCTCACTGCAGGATTACCTGCAAGATCTCAATGAATGGCACTCTGAGACATTAAACTATGTGTCTGGAGCTCGCGGGATTCTCTCTCTGATTCAGGGAGCCAGCAGCAGAGAAGGGGTAAGATCAAGTAACAACATATTTCACTGTGTTTAATATTGACAGAAAATAATAACATTAATAGAAAATAAGTAAGCTGCATACACTAAAATGTTGTGTCAAATTGTAAAGTAAAAGACAGACTGCTTACATGTAATGTTACCTGTGGAGCCAACAAGGTATTGGATTTACTGAGTTTGTGTTGCTTCAGAGAGGATGTATTGCTACAGTTTTTAAAGGGCTCTGTATGTTTTGTTGTAAGGGCTTGAGAAAAAAAGTCCCATATTGAATTATAGTTGAAATACTTTAAATAATGACTGTGTTGTGTATAGTTTCAGGCTGAAAAAACGGCTGTGTCCATAGAACTTGAAGAAAAGCTGAGTCATGAACTTGATAAAGTCAGGGAACCCATGAAAGAGACCCTTACAGTTTTTGGAAGATGCCTCAGTGGGGGGGTTGAAACATCACAAAGTTCATGTGAAAAAGTCTTAAAGTCGGTCCTTTATCCTGTAAGTATTTAAGTTATAATTAAATCAAAGCAAATGCTTGCTCTTAATATGAAAATGTTTCTTACAAATTTTGTTTTGTTTCAGGCAAAGAAAGGTAGTGCATTTCACATGACATTGAAGTGTGTAGTTGAGAAGGGTGGCATCCACAAACCAAAAAAAGGGAAATTAATAAACATCAATATGAAGTTAACTTCATGTTTGACCGACAGCCTTGACGAGGAATTTAAGAAGACCTTCCCGTAAGAAATGACTTAATCATCACATAAAACCCTGTGTTGGATAAATTGTGTTTTACAATACATTTAAATACATTATTGAAATACAAATTTGTTTAGGCCTTATGAATTTAGGCATTTCTTTGTGTTAATATATTTTAGAAATGAAGGAAACAGTGAACCATTCAACGGGGTCATCAATGCGTTTTCACTTGGCACAGAGGAGAAGATGATGAATAAGGAGTACGAAAATGTCAAACTGCAGCTGACATTTCTCAAGACAGAGGTAAAGGCTCCTATTCATTAGTCCATTATCAGATATGTTTTTAAAGCCAGGGAGACTGTAATGGAAGGGTGTGCAATATAATTTAATATAATACATATTGACCCCCTAAGGTTCATGGAGAGAAAAAAATCTTGTGCGCACGATATACTTTCTCGTTCGCACAAAATACTATTTTGTTCGCACGAGAAAGTTACCGGTGCGCCAAGTAGGAAGTGGAGCACAGAGGAGACAACCGTTTCATTGCACTGTTATGTTTATGTGGAGAAATGGCAGTGCAGACATAATTTGAGATATACACTGAACAAAAATATAAACGCAACACTTTTTGTTTTTGCTCCCATTTTTCATGAGATGAACTCAAAGATCTAAAACATTTTCTATATACACAAAATAACCATTTCTCTCAAATATTGTTCACAAATCTGAAAAAATCTGTGATAGTGAGCACTTCTCCTTTGCCGAGATAATCCATCCCACCTCACAGGTGTGGCATATCAAGATGCTGATTAGACAGCATGATTATTGCACAGGTGTGCCTTAGAATGGCCACAATAAAAGGCCACTCTGAAACGTGCATTTTTGCATTATTGGGGGGTTCTGGGGGGGTCCGAAAACCAGTCAGTATCTGGTGTGAGGGGTAGGGTTAGGGTTAGGGGTAGGGTTAGGGTTAGGGTAATGTTGTGAATCGAGTGGCCTGTGTTCGTCGTCCATAACATACGCCTGCCCATACCATAACCCCACCACCACCACCATGGGCCACTCAATTCACAACATTACCCTAACCCTACCCCTAACCCTAATCCTACCCCTCACACCAGATACTGACTGGTTTTCGGACCCCCCCTAGAGTCTAGAAGGCCCGCTAGTTAACTGGCTCGAGACAGAGGATCAGATTCTAGATGAATGCGACGAAGCAATTCATGCCGTTTTATTGTTGTTAACGTTGAAATGGCAAGTGCAACAGGTGAAGATGAAGTTGTTGCGGAATTGTTGCAAGTACCCTTTTCAAGACGACAATTCAGTGAAAAGACGGACATTATAATGCCGCGGAGGGGCGGGGGGTGTGTGTGTCTAGAACAGGGGTAGGCAAACTTTTAGGCTCGGGGGCCACTATGAGTTTTCAAATTTGACAGACGGGCCGGGCCAGTAGCAGATGGATGGAGAGTGTTTGTGTGAACAAATACAAATTACAAGTAAAAGCCATTACCTGAAAAAGTTAAGAAAACTTACATTTCATTTCAGTGGGAACAGTGTTGTTGGTCACCCTTTTTTGCCAGTGCATCAAAGTTTGGTGTCAGTTTGGTTGTGGCAATTCTCAGGACAGATCTGAGATGTTCATCAGTTAACTGGGATCTGTGGCGTGATTTGTTGATGTTCATCACACTGAACGTCTGCTCACACACGTAGGTAGAGCCAAACAACACCAGCATCCTCTGTGCCATCCTCCTAATGTTTGGAAACTTGGCTTCGCTTAGTGATGCATAAAACTCCTCCAGTTTGAGGCAGTTGAACTTCTCCTTTAAGACGGAGTCACATTGAAGATCAATCAGTTCCAATTGCAACTCCTGCGGCGCTGTTTCACAGTCTTGTGATAGGGGACATGACACCAGCTGAAGTGACTTTTCGATTTTTTTCAAAATCAGAAAAGCGACGGCAGAATTCTCCGTGCAGGTCGTCCAGCGATTTGCTGTATTTCTTCACACGTCGAGGGGCCTCTTTCAGTGTTGCTAGTGTGGGGAAATGAGCGAATGATTTGTTTGACATTTGTCTTGAGAATAAAGTCAACTTGGCTTTGAAGGCTCTCACATTTGTGTACATTTCGTGCACAAATTGATCTTTCCCTTGTAGCTTTGTGTTCAGCTCATTCATGTGTGTCAGTATGTCCACAGCAAAAGCAAAATCACAAAGCCAATCTGCGTCGCTCAGCTCTGGAAAATCGTCAGCTTTCCCGATTAACTCCAAAAATGAGCTAATCTCCCCTTTGAGCTCCCACACTCGTCGACATACTTTCCCCAAACTTAACCAGCGGACATGAGAGTGATAAAGCAAGTCCTGGTGATCAGCATCCGTTTCCTCAAGGAACTTAATAAATTGACGATGCTGAAGTCCCCTCGCTCGTATACAGTTAACGAGTTTTACGACTGGCTTCACAACATGATCAAGTTGCAATACAGATTTACACAGGGCTTCCTGATGGATTATGCAGTGCAGGAAAATGACATCCAGCTCAGGGTTTTCCTCTTTCACCTTATCCTGGATTCTTTTCAGCAGTCCGACTTTTTTTCCTGTTAAGTTTGGCGATCCATCTGTGGTGACATTGGCAAGTTTACACCAAGGTAGCTTCAGCCTCTCGATGACACCAGACACACTGCCATACAAGTCCTCTCCTCGTGTTGTCCCCTTTAGAGATTCCATGATCAAAAACTCCTCCGTTATCTCAAAATTGTCATTAATCCCTCTGATAAAAATTAAGAGCTGAGCGGTGTCTTTTACGTCGGTACTTTCGTCCAGTGCTAACGAATATAACTTAAATGACTCAGCTGTTTTGTTTAACTCGCTGGCCAAATCTTCGTCAATTAGTTCTACACGGCGAGTCACTGTCCTGCGTGATAAAGTCATTTTTTCAAATTTGTTTTTGCTCTCTGGACACAAGAGACCTGCTGTCTCTACCGTGCATTCTTTCAAAAACTCCCCTTCGGAGAAAGGTTTGCTGGCCTTTGCTAATTTGAATGCTAGCAAATAACTTGCCTTGGTGCTTGACTCTTGAATAGAAGTTTGTTGGAGAAAAATATTTTGCTGAGTCTTTAAATTGGCTGCCAACCTCTGAGCAGTAGCCGCCCGTTCTTGCGTTGACTGTTTGCTAGCATAGTTAGCATGCTTGGTGGAAAAGTGGCGGCTGATGTTGTATTCTTTGAATACCGCAACGGTTTCTTGGCAAATAAGACATACAGCCTTTGATCGCACTTCGGTGAAAAAATATTTCGCTGTCCACTCCTCTTTAAACACTCGGCACTCATTGTCAACTTTTCTTTTCTTTGGTCCACTCATTGTTAAATGCAGGTTCAAATGTGAATTAGGTTCAAAGGTTAATTATTGCGTCATCGTTTGCGTCATGACATAACGTGCGTTCGAAGTTCTTAAGACCCACACTGCATTTTACGTGGTTGATTTTCTCCGCAACACCGCTCATAACATTAATAGAGGACTGCGTTGGGTTGTTTTTAATCCTACGAAGCCAGATTCAATTAAATAACTACTTCTCCAGCCGTATACCTTTCTCCAGAGTGCCGTGGTGCATTGTGTATTAATGTGTTTCAGTGGCATTACCGCCCGCTGGAGCGCGGCTCGTCCACCGGAGATTATTCTCCCGTTAACTCCCAGCAGCGGCCGCTGGAAAGTGTTCACTGTCTGACTGTCACACAAGCAGCTGATAAATATTCCCCATCCCCATCAGTGAATGTGTGTCAGTCTGAATTGACGCTGTTTGGCATCACAACGCTGTTATGAAAGTTTCTCGGGCATTCTACAGGTGATGTTAGCATAGCAACCGAAGCTAATCAGACTATATTGACTCACCATGATTGCTCAGGTTAATCTCGACCCCCTCCATTGTAAGGGTGACATATGCGGTTCTTAGATCTTGCCGGGTTGCCGAGTGGTCAATTGTGTCTAGAGTGCGCCATCTAGTGGAATAAACTGAAATTACGGGAATTGCAGGAAAAAGGCAAAATTAATGCGGTCATTACTATAATTTGGACAATTTTGTACCAATATTCCGCGGGCCGGATTAAAAGGTCCAACGGGCCGTATGTTGCCCGCGGGCCTTAGTTTGCCCATGCCTGGTCTAGAAGGTCCAGTTGTGATAGACACGGTTCGCCACTGGTCAAATGTTGCTAACCCCGTCCTTTTCACGTGAACGCGCTCTCAGCTGGACAGAGAAACCCTGGTTGATTTACTGAGTTGATAACCAGCTTCGTAGGACCGCTTAGCGAGATCGCGTTTGTTAGTGTTAGTTAAGCCGGGTAACTCAAACATATCCAGGGTCTGTTGAACTGGCTTCGTCATACAGGGCACTGGAGGCAGTAACGTGTAACTCAGCAGAATCTGAGAAGAGCAGCACGAGCTGCAAAGAGCTGTGCCTTTTACTGTTTACTTCACTGTATTTGCCTTCATTAGAACAGCTGAATAGAGATCGAGGCTGCTACGTTTAACCACACCACACACACCTCTTCACACATCGAACTGCCAGAGTATTCCCCCTATTACTCGTTTTATGAAGGAGATGTCCGGTCACCAGGGCGCATGATGTGTGTGTGTTTGTGCTCCGCTCTGTGTGTGTTCGGTGTGTTTGTGTGTGTCCGACACCACCGGCATTTGTTCAAATTACCATGAACAGTAATTTACACAAATCTGGTTCTCCATAGTTATATGTGTATTCCCAAGTGAAATAAATCTTAATCTCGATGTAGTGCTATAGTCCTGCCGGAGTGCACCGGAATGAACGGCACTGACAGTTTTATTTAAATTGAGGCCACGAATTACATCTTGTGTGCACGAATTAATAAAACGTGGCCTCGTTTTATTTATTGTTCTCTCTATGAACCCTCCAGGGCTCCATATTGATCAGTCAACATATTAATATACATTGTACTGGAATAACTCATGAATTGGAGATGGCTTTGAAAAATGTACTGCAGCTGTAAAACGGACCCTGCCCCAAGTCATGAAGACACACTCAAGATTACAATAGCATATTCTGATATTGGGCAAAGTGCTGGTGAACAGGTCCTATCAGTTTGAATAATGTACTGCTTTTCCAGGTAAAATCTGGAAAAAATAATGAAGGGAATGATCAGCCTTGTTTGTAACCTATTGATTTTAAAATATGTTCGATATTTGCTTCGCATTTTCCCTCTAAGGAAGAAAAAATGAAAACAAACCTCAACAAACTCATCCGTGAACGTAAGAAAACGATCTACAGCAGCCTGACAACAACAATCGAGGAGACCATGAAACCATGCTATGACAGTAAGACAGAAGATCATTACAGACGTAGAAATACACTTCTACACATTTTTGTGTTGCAAAATGTTTATGTCAACATGTTTCTGTTTTATTTAGGAGCAAAAGAATTTGAAGGAGTAGGCACGCTGAAAAACATGAGGGAAACTATTGAAATGCACGTACATGGTTCAAAGTACGTCATGTTTGCTCAGGCTAAAAACACCATGATGAAAAAGCTGAGAGGCTTGATGGTTTGTCACATTTTATATTTCGTCTTACAGAAATAATTCTTCACTGAAACATGTTGGGCTGCACATATCAATGTGTATCCATGATTTGTGGTTATCATTTACATAATGGACTCTTCTTAATTCAAGGGCAATTCAACTCGGAACACTGCAACACAAACATACATGTCCAAAGATGTCAGTTTTAAGTGATAAATATTTCAATGCTGATTTAGTTGGAGATCCTGGAGAAACTGGAGAGCACGATGCAGGAATCAATCGAGCTGTCACTCAAAACAGATGGTGTCTCCATCCCAGGTAAAGGAAACATAACAAAATCACAAAAAATACTGTACATTTGATCGTAATTAAAAAGTCGATATATTAGTGTATTAAGTGAATCCACTTGTTTGAAACAATGTTATTTTATTTTTTTCAGATGTAAGTGATGAGCTTAAGTTGGTAAAGAAATACTACAATGACCTGAAAAGAACTGACAGAGTGCCCAGATGATGATGCAATTATTTGGTAAAACTCAATTTAAACACAATATAATATATATATATATATATATATATTGTCTGGATTATGACTTGTTTTCTGAAAATCCTAACAGTGCTTTTATTACAGTAGTGATTAACCGGTTCAAGCGGCTACAGTGCGTCCATCATGTGCAAAGGTAGGTTTTAGGGAACCTGATGATCCAAACTATTAATAATAGTTTGTTATTAATATTCAATTTCACAACATCGCTCTTTGTCTCTCTGGTGGATGTTTCAGGGTTGATAAATGGAGACTAACAGCAGACGCCTGTTAACATACCGAGGATAAAAGACATGAGGCCTCTGGATTGGGTTTCAACAATTGTTCTTGTCTGTTTACATAATGTGGTGCCCTAATTCATGTCATTTTAAAATCCTATTAAAAAAAGCAGTTTGATGATAACCTTATGTTGTTCAGTCTATTAAGATATATCTGCATGTCAATAGCGACCCACACATCCACCCCACCCCTGCTTTTGTGCGCATCAGCATTTTAGTTGTCTGCCAGAAGCTTTCATAAATGTCGTTTTTAATCCAGTTTTCAGTACACTTTTACTAAACACTTTAAATCTTGGTCTTTTTTAACGAACAGGCTTTTACCCGAGCTCAGGCAACAGGACTTCTTGGAAGATTTATTTCCGATTCTAGGACGACAATCAGAGGTTAACACCTTGGTTTGCTTAGGAGCTAAGGTAACTTTGCATTAGCTTGTAGCCTCTCTGGCTTGTATCCATCAAGGAAACTGTCAGGAATCTCGTGTTTTGTCACGTTTGTAGTTTTGTATGTCTGGTTATGGGTAGTTTCCTCCTTGTATATTGTCTGGTCCTTCTTCCTGTGTTTTTCCCCTGTCGTTAGTTTCCCTGGTGTGTCTAGTTTTCTGATTGTGTTCACCTGTGGCCCTTGTGTTTCTCCTCCCCTGCCCGGCTGTTTCTCGTCTTGTGATTACCCCTCCCTGTATTTAGTCTATTCTCTTCCTGTGTTCAGGGTTGGTTCGTCTTGTGTCATGACTAGTTTGTCGGTGAGTGTTCTGTTTTGTCTTTGTTTATATCCCTAGCCTTGAAATAAAGGAGTTTTTTCAGTTTATATCTGCATTTGGGTCCTGCTTCCAACATACACCGTAACAGAAACACTAACTTTAAAAGTAAACTTCTTTATTCAGTGCTGAAGCAGCTTTACTCTCTGGGTCAGTTTGTTTTGGAGAGGAGGAGAGACCTCTGGGAACATTTTGACCATAATGGCAAACTATGAGTTACTTTGCTGTCTTTGATTTGTTTTGAATGAGATCCCCCAGTGAAAAAGTCCTCACTATGCCCATGTATCGGAGAATATATATTGGATCTCAGCCACTGCTGTGATGTCACAGACGTTTTGCTTTTAATGATTTAACAGTTGCATTTTTAATATATGTATTTTCCAGTTTTGAATCTGTTTTATTCTGTTTAGCATTGTTTGATAAATTTAGGCTGAAATGTCAATGAATTAATTAAATCCTCAACATTAGGCGCATTCACACTGCGGTACTTTTCCCACAAAGGTTCATGTGAATTTAGTTCATGTGAACTATTTAGTTCGCATGAACTAAGTACATATCGCGTTCACACTGGAAAAAGTCCGTGGGGGTGGATTAGGCAAATTAAGCGGCTGACGTCACTTGTTCTTCTTCTGCTTTGGGTTTACTGGCAGGCCGCAAACCACTTCAAGGCGTTTACTGCCGCCCAAAGTCCCCGGCCGGAAGTCCCCGGAGTTGGGGACTGGCTTCAGTAGAAGCTGCTGGGACTCCCAGCAGCTTCTACTGAAGCCTTCCGAGTAAATCGCCAGAACGCCGACACCTCCTCATCTCCACCGCTCCCATGTTTTATTTTGTGTTGCCATAAGTTAGTCTCTCTGCGTTTCTGCGCTGGGCTAATGCTAATGCTAATAATGCTAATGCGAGGATAATAAAATGGCGGCTTCACAAAACTTTTTGGGAGTTTTACGGGGCGTGGTTTGCAATCCGCCCAGCCAATCAGAAATATAGCTATTTTCTCACAAAAGAGCCGCTCGAAAGTCCCTGCTCTCTAGCAGGGACTTTCGAGGGGGTAAAAAGGTTCACATGAACTAATTTTAGTACCGTCTCTTTTTGGTGTGAACGCGATAAAAGAGTTCACATGAACCTTTGTGGGAAAAGTACCGCAGTGTGAATGCGCCTCTTGATCACAGCACTACTGGAGGGTGATTTGGATGTAGACTAGGCTTCTCAAATAATGATTTTGATCTGTTTTCTCTCATTTTACAAAACTCACTGCAAATTAATTTTTGGTGTTTTTTCATTCATATGAGAAATAGAGAGATCTAAATGATGGCTTATCTGGTTCCTTGTTATTTACTCTTTTATTTGATGTGGTATACACTCCAATAAAACAATACAATTCACTTGTTTGTTCATGTTCTTGTTAAATGATCTATCTGCTCTAGGTTTTTAATAACATACATTTCTATTGTTAGATAAACAAATAAATGTCCATTTGGTCTTCCTGCCAAACAGGCTTTTTAAATTTATAATCACTGTATAATGTTATGTCCCCACTAAGGTCTAGGGGACCTGGAGACAATAACACACAACAACCAATACAAATGAGGGAGTCAGCGTAAAGGTTGACAAAAAGGTTTATTCCTTATACCTAGAACTGAACATAAATAATATTTGTGGGAGGAGGAGACAAAGGAGATTGTGCCAAACAAAATAATTAAGTATAACAAAACCAGGCCTATCTATCCTCTGGAACCAAAACTCAAACAAAAACCCTCACGTGATGAGAAATGTACAGGGTACCCCAGACTTACCTAACTCTTCCACCTCTCAACACACACATTCACAAAGGTCAGAACGTGTGTGTGTGTGTGTGGACGCGTGGACGCCTCCTTTATGGTTGGCCCTGGCTGCTGATAGGGCAGCTGAGGGTGAGAGGATCCAATCAGCCGTCAGATTCAGGTGCACAGGCAGGTACTGGAGATCAGCTGCTGATTAGCTGTAGAGAAGACAGGGGTTGCGTTCCGATAATCCAAAAATTAGCTCCTAAATTCTAACCCTATCTCCTATTCCTTGACCTCTGAGTGAAACGTCACGGGGTTAAGGGATAGTGGATAGGAGAATTCAAAAGACTTAGGAGAAGAGACTGCGGTACTTTAGAGCAGTGGTTCTCAAAGTGGGGTCCGCGACCCCCCGGGGGTCCGTGGCACTCTGCCAGGGGGTCCGTGAAAAGTTTTCAGATTCATTAATTTAAATTATCATGATATCATTTTTTTTTCATTTTTTTTTTTTTCAACAAATAATCTTTTTTTTTTTTAATCTAAAATATTTCATAGATTACGTTCAAATCTAACAAATAGATACATTTAAAAATCAAGTGCGTTACCGTGGAAACAACAATAACTGTTACGTCAGTCAAAGAGCGCCGCTGCAAGCATCATAGATATATAACACGGCTAGCATACTACGAAGATGGACAGATTTTTTAAATGACCGGTTACGGCTACAAATGAAGTAAATGAAAAACAGACAGGTCCACAGAAAACTACCGGTATGCTTAGTCCTAACTTACTTTAGTTACTGTACTACAAAAAGCAGACGGCGCTGCGCTCAACACACAGACAGACTCAAAACCATGGACACACTGGCACATAAATTACATAAACAATTTCTAGGCCTAAATTGCATAAGCTACAGTATTGCAACTAAGCAGATCTCTCTCTCTCTCTCTCTCTCTCTCTCTCTCTCTCTCTCTCTCTCTCTCTCTCTCTCTCTCTCTCCTCTCTCTCTCTCTCTCTCTCTCTCTCTCTCTCTCTCTCTCTCTCTCTCTCTCACCTCATTCACACCAACGGTGTTTCAGGGCCGGTTCGGAGCTGGAGCTTGAAAAGCACCGGGTTTTCCTGTTCACACCGCAGCGGAGCAGCCTCTTAGCTCCGGAATCCGGTTCGTTTCAAGCACCAAAAAATTGTCCGGCCAGAGCAAAAGCACCACATACGTCACGCTTACGTCGAGGCGGGGGCAGGGGCAGAGACAGATCAACTCCTGAACAACAACAAAAAGCCCGCGTTTTATCCAGTTTGAACAACGATGGAGAAACTTAACCAGAGTTTCAGAGTTTCAGTGTTTCTGCCATAGACTGTATATATAAAGGTTTCTGCTCATGGTGAAGCAACGTGTTTGCGTGTTAAGGTGGAACCTGAGCATTGATTGATTGATTGATTGACAAGTTTATTAACAGCTTGTATATTGGGTACAGTACAGTACAGCTCAAAACATGCAATTGTTAAGGGGATGCAGACCAGAGAAAGACTTTCGTCTTGTTTACATCAGGGTCCCCCATTTCCAATTCATCATATCATTTAAGACATATTTGACATACAGATGGCTTATTTACAATTTACATACAGGTGGTTTTTTACATACAGATTGCTTATTTACAATTTTCATTTTAGATTTCGTTCTTCTAATACATCCTAACCGGACATTTAAGACATACCAAGTCTACAGATATACAGTTAGTAACAGAGTCTAAAATGCGAGTATATACATAGATGGGGGGGGGGGGAAGCTGTCCATTGAACGACAGGTTGAGATTTGTACCATTACCGGGGCCAGTTTTGCAATGCTCTCCCCCGAAGGTGCTCTTTAAGAGAGGTTTTGAAGGTAAGTATAGTTTTACTTTCCTTTACAGTTGTGGGAAGAGCGTTCCACCTTGATGTGGCATAATTGCGAAACGTGTATTCCCCCTTTTTTGTGCCAAATCTGGGTTTCACATGATTTGTGGAGCTCCCTCTGGTGTTATGATCATGGTATTCCTTGACCTTTGGGAAGAATTTTGACATGTACATGGGTACCATAGAGGTGTAGTGGATCTTGTAGACCAGGCCCATTGCAAGTAGCTGTACTCTGTCATCTACTCTAAGCCATCCTAGGTTGTCAAAGTGGGCAGAGGTGAGGTGGGTTCTAGATGAAAGGTCAAGTTTGAAGTTTTATTTTTAGCGCCTTGGAGGTGCTATGGTACCATGACGTGCAAGGCAAGCATAGTCATAGTACCCTTGAATGAGTGCTCCTGCCAGAGTTTTCAGGGTTCATTCATTCACGTTGATCACCTCTCGTTATAACTCATTATAAATCTATAAAACTATAAATATTAAACTTTACTTCACGTGTTCATTTGAGAACAGCTGTTACATACCTGGGTGAAGGTTACAGTTCATTTAAATGAAAGATACAATGTTACTCCACACTCATGGTTCAGTACACCTTAAGAAATAAGACCGGCCTAGGAAGCAGTTGTGTTTTAAAAAAACCTTTATTGACACGAGTACACTTTTTTATAAGAATATAACTAAACCACAGAAATGACTCCGGAAAAGCTGCAGATAGAGCCATAAGAAATTAATGCAACTGATTTCATCCGCGCGGTTTGGCTTTATGAAGCAGGCACGCAAACGGTTACGTCATGACGCAAACGATGACGCAACGACGCATTACCAGTCGGACTCTGGGCGGTGTGAAAAGAAGCCAGAGCTAAACCGAAAAGAACTGGTTCTGAACCTGAAAAGCTCTAGCACGGAGCTTGACACTGGGGGGCTAGTGAGGTGGCGATGTAGTGAATGAGGTATCCTTACTCTCTCTATCTCTCTCTCTCTCTCTCTCTCTCTCTCTGGTCATCTCCTTCTTCTCTACTCTCCTCTCTCTCTCTCTCTCTCTCTCTCTCTCTCTCTCTCTCTCTCTCTCTCTCTCTCTCTGTGTGTGTGTGTGAACAAATTGTAATTTAAAACACATTTCCTACATGTCTACACCACCTTGCCCTCTTTGGATTTAATCAAGAAACATTAACCCTGTATAATGTTAACCAAAACTGTAAAATTATGTTATATTACTAAAAACGTATTATTGGGAATCGCGAGAAGTTTCAGAGCGACAGAGACACAGAGCGTCCCCGTAACCATGGTAACTCACTCTCACTCCTGCCTGGTGCGCATGGCGCGAGAGGAGAGGGAGAGACGCAGAAGTGAGACTGATTACTTTGAGCAACATGCATGGGAATAAGTTACAATATAATACATTTGTGTATATTTCTCGCTATTCAGATGGTCATGGTGCTGCTGTTGCGCAATGTGCAGAAGTGTCTTCTTTTCGCACCATGACATTATCAGTTATGAATTTGTTTTTCACTGCTTGAGAAAACGGACTTGTGGCTGAGAGCGTGTGAAAAATGTCAATTGTGTGAGAGTTGGCAGCCCTGTGAACTCGCTTGACATTATTATGTATGAAACTGCCAATCAGATTTATTTACTTATTAATCGAAGGTGCCGGAACGCTGTTCTGGATCGTTCCGGCCCACTTTAACCCCTGTGTGTGTGTGTGTGTGTGTGTGTGTGTGTGTGTGTGTGTGTGTGTGTGTGTGTGTGTGTGTGTGTGTGTGTGTGTGTGTGTGTTCTGAAATGCACTTCAAATGATCACTTTTCTCTTGATTTCCCTTTGATATTTTCTTTAGGTACAGCGTTACTTGCAGCTAATTGATTGATTGTTTTATGGGTATTCTGTGTTGAGATGGTGCAAATATTTTTAATACATATCCAATATCTTTCTAATACATTTCTCTTGTGTTGTTCTTTCACATAACTAAGACTATAGAAGTGTAAAAAATAGGCTACGTCAGATTATTCCAAGGGACATACAAGTCAAATCAAGTACATTTTTATTTATATAGCCCAAAATCACAAATCAGAATGAGGGGGTCCTTGGTGTATTCTCTATCTTGTAAGGGGTCCTTGGCTGAAAAACAATTGAGAACCTCTGCTTTAGAGAATCCGAATGCACTTTCACTATCCGACGTGTTTATGATGCGCCAGCGGACGTCATGAATGTGCGTCTGCTGCTGTGGTGAAACTATGGAAACTACAGTTTTCTATACAGCGGACTATAACATGGATGTATAATAAGAAGGAGGGACTACTGTAAACTCATCTAGAGACTCTGCACCGTGCTCTGATGCTGTTGCTTTATGCTTTATGAACGTGGACAACAGAGAAACATATTCTTCATGACCAAAGTTGGAATTTAAATAAAAAAGGAAAGTGAAACTTATGCTCGTGACCCTCTCCCTCCGTCCACATTTATACAACTGATCCCAATACGTATGATTGTATGAACTATGAAAATATCTTAAAGTCAATACAAATGTATTTATTATAAACGTTAGTCCTTAACATCTATCACTGTGTATATCACCATTCAAACATCTTTTAAAAGTTGAACAAACCCCACACAGCTCAGTAAACACTGTGAAATGTTGACTTTATTGGATAATTTCAGTATAAAACTAACGTTCATATTTCTCTTTTTGATTATAATACTGATGAACGTTCAACACAAAGCACTTTGGCAACTTACCACATACGTTTTAAAATGCTTAATAAGCACCGTAACTTTCATGATATAATTTCTCCGTCATAATCGGTTGTTTTCCTGAACGGCCGACTGTTGAGTGACGGCAAATGCTGCGGCTGCAATGCATTATGGGGCAGCATTAATGTTGGGTATTTCTATATTACTTTGTAAGAGTAAACCCCAGCTCGGTTCAAATATACCAAAACCCAGTGAACAAAGATAACAGTACTCGAGTTTCAAGTTTACTTGCTGCAAGGAGAATCAGCGAGTGACAGGTCATGTCAACTCCAAAACCAACTCTGCTCCTCTTCTCTCAGTGCAGTCTCTTTATTACAAAAATACAGTTACAAATCATGCATGAGGAAGTGTATGTAACCAACGGCTTTATTTGTCAATGGGAGTCTTGTGACTCGCAATCATGTGTGTGTGTGTGTGTATGGTCCACAGAAAAGGGGAACAGACTATTCTCTGTTCCTCTTTTCTGACTATGGTCTCTTTACAACATAAAATGACAACATATTATGAAAACACGTTTATCCTTCAATAAACTCTAACAATTTTCTCCTCTCATTTCGTCAAGGGAGGTCCAGTGGTTCCTAAGCTAAAGGAGGTTACAAAGGAAGTTTGAAACCTCCTTTCCTTTCATTTGGAGAATTGGAACGGCACTTAACATGGCTGCCACTGACGTACTTCCGGGTCATTTCACTTGGTTAGGAAGGTTCCTAAGTGGACTAAAGGAACGCAACCAGGGAGAAGAGAGAAAAACAGGAGGGAAGGAGAACCACACAAGTACGCCTGTAACAAGTAACAAGTGGTAATGCAATCATGCTTTTAAAGTCACCAACGTGCTACTTACTGATTGCTCCCAAAGTGTACCACCAGACCTCATGTAATGTTTCAGAATTCTGTGAGTTGTTTCATAATCTAAACTTCTTAAATCTACCCTAAGAGGTAGAATTATACAAACACTTGACATAAACACTGCGTCAGGCCGTTGTGTCCTTGGGCAAGACACTTCACCCGAATTTGCTCCTGTGGGTATTGTCCACAGTATATGACCATTACATGTATGATCTGTATGTGTAATGTGTATTTGTAAAGCGCTTTGAGAGTCTTTGATAAAGCGCTATAATAAATATAAGGATTATTATTATTATTATTATTATTATAAAAGTACCCACATGATTAGAGAAAAGGACAACTTTAACAGGGAATAGGATTATGCCAAGGGTTTATATTTCAGACACAAATACATTTCAAAGTGCATACAAAACAGAAGCATTACATGAATAAATAACACATGGTTAATTTAGTGTGGGAGGAGTAACATTCCACACCTCTCAGCGTAAACAAAAATACTTTAAGTTTCGTTTTCTAGGTTGGGCAGTTATTGGGATACTGAGCGAGAGACTCCTTTAACCTGCTTTTGGCTTCATATCAACAGGCTGTACGCTACGGGTAAGCTTTGGAACGATTCATATTATTTTGTTTCATTGTTAGTTTTGTAAGTCATGTTCTTATGAAATATATTGTAATATGTTGTATGTTAATGTGTTAGGGCTTCTTGTTTGGTTGCTACCTTTGTCCCATGGCTCTTGAAAAACACATTAACATTCAATTAGTTTCAAAACCAACGCACATGTTTTTGTGTGTCTGGTAAGGGAGCTGTATGTTCTTTTTACGTGGTATGTTTTTGTTTTTTGTGTAAGAAACAACATGCTCCTGTCGATTGCAAACGCTCCGGAGGGTCGTTTATTCACAAATAACCCTCTCTGGAAAATCCTAAATTGTGGAATAGTTTGGCCATTAACATGCTTTTTTATTAGATTTCTAGCGAGAAGTGTATATTGTACATTTATGATCTACGTCCAGTGGATGTGTAGGATCTACAGTTTGATAGATATACTAAGATGATTTGAGGTCTCGTCAGGAGAACGTGTACTGTACTGCAGCTTCCATGTCAAGTTAGCGTGGGGTGAAAACAGTATTTCCGGTCTAGAAGTTTTCATAATAAAACCGGAAGTATTCCCCACACTGTCAAATGATTACACAGTGATATCTCCATTACTCATCCACTAAAAAACATCAGTTTATCCTTGTTAATTACACAATATTGATTGGTTTAAATTGTGTACAATGCTTTTGTGTTTTTAACCTTCGATTCGGAGAAACAAATGGTTTTTTCGGAGTTTAGACACTACAGTTTCCGAAGACACTACACTACCCAGAATCCCCAGCTATCGTTTGGGACTACAACATCCGCCTTGCTTTACAAACCCCGTGATTAGCCCTCAAGCTCTGTGATTGGATGTTGGAGTGGCAGTGCGACAATGTTACGCCGAGTGTCAAACAGCTCTTTGAAATGGAATGGAACCACGCCAGACTATCCAAAACTGGACTTGAATGGGTCCACGGCAGATATGTAATATTTAATGCAGCCGAACCGTGTATTACAATGCCGTTATGTGATGACTTTCAAAAAGAAAAGCAAGAACACTCGGAATAAAGTATTATTTAAAAAAAAAAATGTTTTCCGATTTCATATCACATAAACCCCATATCCCGACGTGCATTGCGGCGTGATTTTAGCCTATCAAAACCTCTGAAAATAGAAATGTGTCTCTCAGAATCGAAAGAGAAAAACCTATGGGAAAAACATAAAGCATTGTACACAATTTAAACCAATTAATGTCGTATAATTAACTAGGATAAACTGATGGTTTTGAGTGGATGAGTTCTGCAGATATCACTGTTAAATCATTTAATCATTGTTTTTATTATGAAAACGTCGAGACCGGAAATACTGTTTTCAACCCGTAACTTTACATGGAAGCTTGCCGCATATACACGTTCTCCTGACGAAACCTCAAATCATCTTCGTAATGTATATCAAACTATAGATCCTACATATCGACTGGACGTGGATTCTAAAAGTACAGTATATACTTCTCGCTAGAAATCTAATCATAAAGCATTTGAATGGCCAAACTATCCTACAATTTAGGATTTTACAGAGAGGGTTATTTGTGAATAAACAAACCTCTGTAACGTTTGCATTCAACGGGAGCACTAGAGGCCGACAACTTTAAAACGTAATTATAGGTCGTATTAAGCGCTTGAACAATCGACCCATTTGGTCGTATGAGTTGGAGGACTTGTTGCCCAGAGTGAATTCTATGGAAAGCCAAGTGTGCCACAAAAACGTAACATATTTCTCGGGAAAAACACCTGCATGGAGCATTTCTGATGGCATTTGGCCCTGAACATCAATTTTAAGATAAGAATCAAGGAAACATTTATAATATTACAATCACTGGAGGCAGTATTTGAATATGTTATACCATTATATTATATCATCATTAGATTAGTATTATTAATGTTACTGTTTTATTTGGGTGGAATCAAGTTTGCTAGCCTTCAAGACGCTTATAATCACTTAATTCTTTTTGATAGAAAACACTCTGAAAAAAGTAAGAAAGCTAACATCTGAGAATCTGGAACCATGACTTGACATGATATGTGACCCGCTCTATCGAAATCAGTCGGAAGTCGCAACGGCTCATTTCAAAATAAACGTGGATTTGCGTAAAAAACTATTTGTTCGGGGTTTGGGTGTTTTGTTTGATTTTAAACAAAGTCTTGGCTTTCAGAATATGAAACTTTTATTTCCAAAATCACACGATAAATACATTTTTGAAGCTTGTAAAGGGAAGATGACAGGCACCTCTCACTCGCAATCTGCTCTTCCGCAGCGCCGCTCCTCCTCCCTCCGGCTGAAATTATTAATGTAAGCGTATAGTAATCATAGATAACATGGCAGGGTCCGTTACAGTTTGTTTTAATCTGATTTCAATTAAACAAAGTCTTGGCTTTCAGAATATTAAAAAAATGTCGGCAAATTCAGATGATAAATACAACTTTGAAGCTTGTAACGGCATAATTACAAGCGGAGAACGGAGTAACTTAACGTCACAGCAGGCATAACAACAGCTGGTGTTTCTCGTGAGTGTTTTCCCCGGGAAACAAACACAATACACACAAACGCAAAATTATACACACACACACTCGCGAGCTTCCCCCAGACCAGTAATCCAAACGAAAATATCTTCTCTCCGTAGTATTTTCAAATCAAATCAAGTTTTATTTATATAGCACATTTATATAGCACATTTATAAACGATTTTTGGTCGAGCCAAAGTGCTGTACATATAATAAAATGTGCCTACAGTAGAGACACTTTACAGCAAATACAACAGCACAGATTGTTCAGAATATCAGTATGAGAAAAACGACACCCTCTATCCTTAGACCCTCACATCGTACAAGGAAAATCTTCCAGAGAAAACCCACAGTTTAAGGGGAAAAAATGGGAGAAACCTCAGGGAGAGCAACAGAGGAGGGATCCCTCTCCCAGGACGGACAGACGTGCAATAGATGCCGTGTGTAAATCGAAGAGATAATACATTTTACAGCATATAGACCGAATGTTAGGAAATGCATGTGTCTGTAATAAGAAGATGAATCCACGAGGATGTCAGCTACAATCCTTTGATCATTTGCTCCGCTAATAATCAATCAGATCGATGGATTCCAGAGAAGAGGAAACTTTAAAGGCTTTTTTCTCAAAATGATGACTCGGTGACAGTCATTATATAATGTGACATATTTCGCTTAATATTTGGAGTACAAAAACAATCCTGATATCATTAGAAAGCTTGGAATATCCTCTTTCCAACAGTGTATACAACTCAAAATGTGTCTTCGGGTCAATGCGACTGATTTCGATAGAGCAGGTCACATTTTTAATGTTCTGGCATAGAGTATTTCAAGATTAAAATGTTCATTTAAGCTCTACTTGTGTAAACTAAAATAGTTTGACAATAATTGATCTTTGATTCAGAATACATTTATTTTAATGTTTCATAGATTCCATTCCACTGGAAACTTGAAAGTTCATGTTTCTGTAAACATCTACAAGAAATGCAAATAGCAGGTAAGTAAACAACCAAGCAGGCTCTCCTAATCATTTCTGAGATGTGTGCATGCTTATCTTGTGATCACACAAATATTTCCTATATGCTTCTTATAAACACTTTAATTAGGCTGCCATTATCACTTTAATAACCCTTTCTTTTTCCATTCAAATATCATAACTCTCACAAGTAGTTATTTTGTTGATTAAAACAATTATTTGTTTACTTTCCAGTTGCTATTCTTAATCATGGATGATTTTGTTTGCAACAAATTAACTGAATGGAATCTCAGCGAATGGATACAAACATTTAAAGGTAAAGTATTCTCTTGCTTTTTGTTGGGCAAAAATATTATACAAAGTCGATATGACCTTCCAATACTGAAATATCTAAGCATCTACTTGAAGACACATAATCTGCCTCAACATCGTTGTGCAGTAACTTTCTGACATATCCCTGACATACTTAACCTGTTCGACCCGCCCCCGGACGGAAAAACGCGTCATCTGCAGGAAACAGCATCTGAGGGCTTCTTAATATTTAATAAACTATGAATGTTTTATATCCATGTAACGGGAAGAAACTCAGCTAACTGATGTTATGAACCCTTTTTAGCAAAAAAAAACACAAGACTAATGCTGAGCCTCTGAATCTGCCCTGAGCGAAAAAATCGCAATGCCGTTATTACAGAACTCTAGCTATACCGATCGATATACTCATTGGATCTGCACAAACAAGCTTCGATAACATCCTGAGAGTCCACAGATTATAGAAATATAAGGATCATCACTGAGCGATCAGAACTTGTGACAGGGAAGAAAATACAGACAACACACGACGTAGCTTTAGGTAGCAAAACACGGAGATATGCACCATAGCTGTTATTCTGATCAAAAGTAATGTTCAATGGCATTAAAACGAGAAAAAAACGCGGCTGAAGGTTAATCCATAGGTTCATCCAATGTGTCTGTCACTTTGAAAAAATTATTAATAATCCATAATTCAATTTGTATGCAAAAATCGGAGAATACAAATTAGCTGCTAATGGTAGCCACCACAGCCCACCAGAGGTTAGTGCAGCTTCCGGTTTTCTACGTGTCACTCTCATTCCTTATTTGGTAACCTGTGTCTGTATGTGGAACTTTCCCTTGATTCCATTGGCTCTAGCGGTTAAAAAGAGATCAGCAACATACATTTGCTAAATCTCACTTGTTTTGCATCAATCTTGATACAGGGTACTTATTATATGTAGTACTTTGGATTCCTAAAGCTTTTAGTCTACCATCCCATCATTCAAGGGTGGTTTACATTATAAGTAAAAACATATTTTTGTACGGACACTATAATTTACTATGTGCAATCTGAATTATTCTTTAAAATAAAAAACATCTAAATTGATTCTGACTTTTTTACATCCAACTCAAAGGGTTATCATTACTTTGAGAAAAAAGATTATTAATTTAACCCTTTTAGAAGGGAAGATAATGGTCATTTGTTCTGGAAATATAATTTTTGAGCCTGAGACCTGGAAAACAGGCTTGGGGGTCAACAGGTTAAACAATCATAAAGACTTCATCTTCACACAGAGAAGAAACTATTATATATTAACTTCAGAGTAACTCATTTTCTGTAGTATCTTATCAGCAATATATTACCAATATGAATTCAGTTCAGACAACATTATTTCAATCAGGAGAGACGTGATGTATGGAATACATATTTATTATCGGTCACATTATATAAATGAAACATAATGACAGTTTATAACAAGTGAATTAAATGGTGTTTTGGCGATTAGGCCCAGGTTTTGTAGGATATCAATCGGGAAGGGAAGAACCATTTCTGATGAACCCCCCTGGGTCTAGACACTGGTGGTGATAAGTGGTTAGGTCCGGTTGGAAGGGAGAAGGTTAAGCTTGGCCCTGAGTTGAAAGCAGGAGGTGAAGGGGTGGAGGAGGGTTGCGCGTTGACACCAGGAAGACAGCTGATAGGAAAGGGGAGAGCATATATAGAGGGATTAACAGGTGCGATAATTAGGCTTGTAAATGGAGGGGAGTGGCGCTCCCTGTCATTTAGTGCAGGGAGTGAGTATTGCCATGACGTGCAATACGGAGTGATAGGTCTTCCTGTCTGAACTTCCGCTAAGCTTCATTTCAATCAGGAGAGACGTGATGTATGGAATACATATTTATTATCGGTCACATTATATAAATGAAACATAATGACAGTTTATAACAAGTGAATTAAATGGTATTTTGGCGATTAGGCCCAGGTTTTGTAGGATATCAATCGGGAAGGGAATAACCGTTTCCGATGAACCCCCAAAAGAATGAAGTATGAAGTACTGAACGTGAAGAATCTTACCTTGTGGGATGCAGTGGAAATCTATGGATAGAAATGAGGTTAATACATGTGAGAATTTAAACATCTGATGCCTCCCGGGCATCCTTCCTGGACATACAGGGCTTCCCGGACGTACGGGGCATCCCGGACGTACGGGGCATCCCGGACCATCCCGGACGTACGGGGCATCCTGGACGTACGGGGCATCCCGGACGTACGGGGCATCCCGGACGTACGGGGCATCCCGGACGTACAGGGCATCCTGGACGTACAGGGCATCCCAGTCGTACGGGGCATCCCGGACGCACCGAGCGACCCGACTTGCGGGGCGCCCGGAACGTGCAGGGCTTCCCGAACGTGCGGGGCAACCTGACTTTAGCAGGGACACATTATACGGACCGGAGGTTAACGACCCGGACATACGGGGCTTCCCGGACATACGGGGCTTCCCGGACATACGGGGCATCCCGGACGTACGGGGCGTCCCGGACGTACGGGGCATCCCTAACGTACAGGGCGTCCCGGACGTACAGGGCGTCCCGGGCGAACGGGGCATCCCGGACGCACCGGGCGACCCAACGTGCGGGGCGCCCGGAACGTGTAGGGCTTCCCGAACGTGCGGGGCAACCTGCCTTAGCAGGGACACATTTATACAGACCCGAAGGTTTTACAACCTGGACATACAGGGTTAGATATGCAGGAATAAACATGAGCCGCGGGGCGACATACGTGCTGACATACTAGGAACCACCACCAGTTATATGCATACGTACCAATTTTAAGGTCGGAGAGACCTTTGGATAGCCAGCATGGCATTGAGGTCAGGGCGAATGTAGGATGAGAAAGCGGAGGAGGACCACCGTCCGAGTTGTTGCAGGGATGAGGATGAGACACCTTGATTAGCAGCGGAAGTAGCTGCGCCTATTCTAAAGGAATGCCCCGTGTATAGAAGGGGTGATAACCCGGATTTAATGAGGACTTGTTTTAAATAGATATTGAACTGTCGTTGTGTTAAAGGAAAATTCCCTGAGATAAGGAATAATGGTGAGAGAGGATTAGAGGTAGGTCTAAGCTGTAGGAATTTGATCATGGATTTATAAGGGCAGAACTGGGAGTCGATGCGGGCGGCGATGACGGAGCAGGCGCCGCCGCATTTGGAGTGTTTAAGATATAAGCTAAAGTGGCTAGCGTGAAAGGATATGTCAGAAAAGCTGACGTCTCGATTGGAATTGAATGTAAGGAAAGCTGTGGTAAATTCACCTGGTCTGAGAAAGGCATAAAAAGCTAGGAGAAATAGAGCATCGAGTAGCGCATCGATATAAGGGGAGAATAACCCACTTCTAAGTTTGGAGAGCATGAGGCGTAAAGTGGAGAGTGTAATAGGGCGTCTCCGGTCTAAGACGGGGGGGAAAATTATAATGAGACCTTTGAGGATGAGTTTGACTGACTGGTTTGCGAACAGGCTGGGAAAGCCGGGATCGGAACAGCGAACGTTAAACTGCACTCCTGCTAAGAGGCCCCGGATGTATTGGGGTTTGAGGTGGCGATCAGTGGCGCAGTAGCACATGAAGGCACACACGTTGGAGATGAGAACAGGTTTAAGTGTGATGCCTACGGAAAAGCAAAACATCGCGAACGTTCTCCAAGCTAAATCATATGTTTTGAGGGTGGACGCGGCTAAGCCCTTCCTCATAAAAAAACTGGCTGATTCGAGGTGCCTTTTGGAGTGCTTAAGATATAAGCTAAAATGGCTGGCGTGAAAGGATATGTCAGAAAAGCTGACGTCTCGATTGACTTCTTTTCTGAGGGACGCTAGTGTTAGATCCAGCGAGTGTGATAATAAATGTGTAGCAATAGTGGAAATCTGAGTGTGCCGCTATGCGGATGATCTCATGCAGATCTTCCCCCCAAAACGGAGGATGTGCAGTGCACGTCCTTAAGTCGGGGAAAACGCGGTCGTCGTGAGGCCGGCGGATGCCACGTCCAGGAAACGGGAGATGATGGCGTGCCGAAGAATATCCGCATGCAAAGTACGGTTGCCCGATGAGGAAGAGCAACTGTCGTTGAAGACGTTTATGTGGATGCACGCAGTTTGGTTAGAGGAACGTTAATACCATGAGCTTGATGTGATGCCTAGGAACTCCAGGTGTGTGACTGGTCCTATAGTTCCTCATGATTAGGAACGCTGTGCTCCTGGAGGATTCTCTTCTACTTTCTTCTTCTCTTTTCCCAGTTGAGCGGAGTTATAGGTTAGTAATGTTGTATTTGAACACTAGATGCGTAAAGGCAACGCATGAGGAGATCTCCCTGAGCAGTGGGTGATTTGAACTGGGGAGAGACAGCTATTAATATTATTTACCCGAATAGCCGGTGCACACGTAGTTTCTCCTTACTTGAATGCCGCTTAAGGCTGAAAGAGTTCCGCTGAACGATGATGGGAACTTTAAAGCGCGTCGTTAATATCTGCTTTGAAGAGCCAGCCTTGGCCTGCACACTATTAAGATTACATTATCTCCGTGCGTAGAAAGGGGGGGAACATTGACCTTTGTCATCGAGATTGCCCTGGGCCTTTAACAAATCGTATTAAATAATCTGATGACAGACTGTAAACAGAATAGCTGAAATTTTAACAACTAAATAACTCATAACATCATTAACCCATGTTTGTATAATGTAGTTAACTCCGTGTGTTGCTGCTAGCATACATAACACCTGACGTGGAAACGTTACTCGTGGATGGGGCTACAGAGCTGCTAGAAAGACGGTCGAACCCGGTACATTCCTCCGTCTGGATGCGGTGCAATTTTGCTAAATGTTTAGACAAATTGCTCGTGCGCCCTTACATGCTAAACTCTTATTGCACTTTTGGTAACAAGTATTCTCCACATCGAGACGGGTAAAGTTTAACCACACCTCGGAGCGTGTTCTCTCCGCCATCTCCGCAGTTTGCTCCGCTGCATGTAGCAGCTGCGCGTGTGTAAACTGCCCCGCCCCCTCGCACACAGACGGGGGAGAGAGATCTCGTCTGATCGAAAATACATCATGGACGCATTTGTTGTCTTTTGCATATTAGAAACGAGTTGGCGACACTAAGACATATGCGATATAATGTTTTTTAGCAATAATACATGACATATATTTTATAAATGTCTCCGGTACCGATAAAAGACCAATACGTTGGAACTTAACGGCGCGTAAAACACACGTGATGACGTCACCAATGAATCGACGACTGAATTAGTTGGCAACTAATTTGGTAATCAATTAACTCGATTAGTTGTTGCACCCCTACTGCCGAGGAGATGTTGTTGTCGAGAAACGGAATATTTCTTAGTGGAGAAGAAAGAGAAAAATACGATCATTCAGTCAATAATCATTAAATTAATATTGGGAGTGAATTCCTAATTTATTTAGTATCTGGTCGTGTCATAAACAGGATAATGTGCAGCGACTTGGTCATTGAGGAAAATAAGCCCTACGAAACGCCATTTATTTCAGGTAACACTGTGTTGAAGCTTGAAACTGCGTTAGTTACTGAGCATTGTAATGGGTAGTAATTACCCGAACTGCATTAGTAATGCAAGTAATACGTTACTGAACTCCATACTGTAACACGTTACACCCAACACTGCCTGCTGGGACTCACCTTAACCCTGAACTAAAGGTAGCAATGCATAGTGTTGAACTTCCTGTCGGCTCCCAGACCGTAGTCGAGGAAACGGGGGGGGGATGACTCTGTCGTCTCCCAGGGCAGAAGCAACACGCTTCGGGTTCAATAACCCATTTTATCGGAAAAACTGGAGAGAGGCGAGCTCTTCTTGGGAGGTCGTTGCATTTATTTAGCTCTTCTGTTTCGCAAGATCACAGACCTTCCTTTTTCTGCTGCCTCGTTATTTCTAGAAAACATGTATCCCGCTCGGTCTACCATACCATGCCCGCGCACACATGAACGCGCCACACCCCTCTCTTAAAGGGGTAGCGATCTCACTCTGCATGACCCAAATGTCATAACCATAGACTGTATATATAAATGGACGTAGGGTCCGTGACGTCACCCATAGGATTCTGCAGAGTTGCCGTGAAGCCCTTAGTAGGCGGAGTCGGCCACTAACGGCTCGACGGTGTCGTCAGAGTCTAACTCCCGCCTTCTCCCGCCTTCTCCAAATAAGGGCAAAGAGGCGGAGCCGAGGCGGGACAGGGCGGGACCTGCTGCCAACGAGCGTGACGTTCGAGTCCTAGCTCAGGCTAAGAAGCTAAGCTAACATGCTCTCAGTATCAATCGAATGTAAAACATGATTGATGAAAGTAGTAAATCGGTCAGATTTGACCCGAAAGACAACAGGAGGGTTAATACCATATTCACTTAGTAACGCATGAACAACTTTTACAAATATTTCTATATAGTCTGTGTTGGTAAATGTCATCTAGGTTGCACATTTCCTGCTGAAATACATGCATACCAAGTCACTGCGTGGCACTTTGGTTTTGATAAAACAGTGTAGTTCCACTATATAAACGTTACATTCATAATCAAACGAGACAATCTGCAAGATAATTAGCTATTTGGTATTATTCTTAATGCTTGTCATTCACACGTTAATAAAATAAAATAAGTACCGATACATAGCAGAATAATTGTGGCGGTGTTCAGCTTAATAAGCCTTGCTCAACATCATTTATTTAACTAATATTACAGCGGGCTGCAGGCGAACCAAGTCCGCGTTACGATGCATTCCTTGATCTCCAGTTATAACACCGGACTCCGCCGCTGGCCGAAGCTAACGGAGCCCCAGGGTGCTAGCTACGGCCGCCGGGACGCGCTAGCGAGCTAGCACCCTGCAGCCCCGTTAGCTTCGACGGCGTGGACTCCGGCGGCCCACCCCTTTTAACATTTGCTCCCGTTTAGCATTATGGGCGTCATAGCCATATAGTATAAAAGTCTTACCCAAGGCTGAATCATAAACTAAACTGTATATATGTATAAAGGGTTACGTCCTTAGCTGGCTAATAAGCTACATAACAGGCTGTTGCGACCTGGCTCAAAAGGCCACAACAAAAAGGAGACACAACATGTCAACGGGTAGGTAAAGGTGTTTATTTGCACAACACTGGTCAATTCAACACATTTATACCCATCAGAGCCGGGTGCCTGCAGGAAAACAGAGCGAGAGAGCAGACAGGAGCAGAGAGGCTTTAAGATAGCTGCAGAGCACCAGACCCAGGTGCCCTGAGTTACTGCAATCGGTGCAATCACTGGAGCCAATGCAGCACAGACAGAACAGCCACACCCTATCTACTGATGCACCCGCAGGGGCATCACACAGGCTAAGCTAACAAGCACACAAACACCTGCTAACGGGGTTAACATGTATTATATTATCATTTTACTCACCGAAAAAAGCTGAAAGTAGACTTCTTGGAAGATCTGTTAGTACATTCAAGCGCACAGCACGACATTTTAATTATCTGGTATTTGTAACAATATTCCCTAACAGGCACGATCACCACGAACACAGCTAAAGGATCAAGTACAGTAACTACAACTAACTAACGTTGTAGCCTAATGGTTGTAGCCTAGCAGATTGGACAAGTTGCTGTTAGCTGACAGTGAGGCACGTATCTGTCAATCAAAGTGACCACGCCCTAATGTATGCACAAACTTTAAGACCTAATATAAATATAAAGGGTCGCGTTAGAAAACAATTCACTCACAGATCCATAATCATGAAGGTGGAATCTAACTATATCGATAATAAAATGTATGGAGCCAGGGGTAGAAACATGTTTTTTTCTGCTGTAAAATCGGGCATTTTAACATGGGGGTCTATGGAAATTGCTCCTTTCTGCAGCCATCGCCTATCGGCCAATATATGAACTGCAGTGTGTGGCACTTCCGTATTGGCTTTCCGGCTCTACCCCACAGTTTGCCGCTTGGTCATAACAATATACGAAACATATCGTGAATTTGTTGCAACTGCCTCTTGCCAGCGCTACCCTGACGCCTGTTTTAGATGTGAGGCGCAGGAGGAAGTAGCTTCAATGGGATGTAGCTTACGCCCTGCCTGCCTGCAGGAGGGGTTGTGGTTGAAGCCAGAATGGGTAAAGCTTCGCATGCGATGAGGACCCGTTCCGCGTGAAGCCGGAAGCGCCGCATTTGAGCGGCCCTGATGCCAGTGATGCCCTCTTGAGAGACTGAAGGCGTGCGTCAATTGTTTGCGTGAAGTAGCCCATTTCCATTAGCCGGAGGAACTTCCGTGGAGCCCGATTTCCTTGTCTTTTCCTCCCGCGTCCGGGTTTGCGGGGCGGCCGGCTGGAACCTCTAGCCGACTGGGGGACGCCGCCTGTAGCGTAATCCGCAAGACTGCGGAGCCGATGAATAATGCCTGGAGCTGGGACGAAGCCCTGCTGCTGCTTGCGCGTTGACACCTGGAAGACAGCTGATAGGAAAGGGGAGAGCATATATAGAGGGATTAACAGGTGCGATAATTAGGCTTGTAAATGGAGGGGAGTGATAGGTTAGCTGAGGAGTGGCGCTCCCTGTCATTTAGTGCAGGGAGCGAGTATTGCCATGACGTGCAATACGGAGTGATAGGTCTTCCTGTCTGAACTTGCGCTAAGCTTCATGATATAGTAATGCTCTTTAAAACACATTTTCAACAGCTGAACTCACATTTCACCCCATGCAAAATACACATCTACAGAAATGTGCAATTGGTTAACATTTCTTAATTTAAATTGTGTTTACAGATCACAAAGTTGACAAGGAAAGTCTTTACTGTCTGGAAGATCATCACATTGCTGCCTTGATCCCAATGGTGGGACCACAGTCAAAATTCAAAAAGAGACTCAAGTTGTTAAAGGTAATGTCTGCATTTTTACACAGATACTGTATTTGGTCTCATTTATCCCAATAAATGTACGACATCTACATACAAAGGAGTGTAATATATGTTATTGACTTTAATATCATTTTATAAAAGTTCTTTACTATTATGGATTTGAGACTATTTTCTTTTCTAACTAGGAGAAACAAAACACAACAGATCCGGAAACATCTGAATCTTCTGTTGAAGTTAGTTGAATGCAGTTTAATTCACTTTTGATATTGTCAATGTCTGTTCAACATTTTACATGGCCACCAAGAGTATTTATTTTAAATGCAATGTAAATGGGGAGGAAGCTGTTTCTGCTCAGTTAATGATAACTTTAAATTGACCATGCTTGTTATCATTGGACTTGACTCAATCCTTCATGCATTGATATTTGAAGCATCCTGAGACAAAGACACCTGTAACTGAAGAACTGTGAACTGTTTAATTTGTTCAAAGTGTTGTTCATTCGGTAAAAAGAATGCTGAATGTGATCACTTCATAGCCATGTTTCAAGTATATATTATTTTGCATAGAGTTTTGAATGGGAAATGAAATGCAAATGTAGGTGTGTGCGAATTGTAAATATGTGTGTTCAAGCCTGTAACACCCTGTGAGAGGACAAAGAGTCAAATGTTCATGTTCATCCTCAGGTTCGTCCGTCCACCAGCAAAACAAATGATAAAGGTGAGATACAAAGTGTCTTATGGATTATATGCAGTTTTATTGATATTTTATAAACAATAATAAACTTGTTTTATCCAAACAATGTTGAAAACATTTTTTAATCAAAGAAATATGTTATTTACAAAAAATAAACAAGGAAAGAGGAAGTTGGATCTCCAGGGTGAGTCCAGCCAATCACCAGCCAGAAAACGACCACGTGAGGATATACAAGGAACAAAAACAGGTATTTATATTACTTTCCAAAATATTAGAAACTAGGGTTGATAAGTATAATGTGTTTTAATGTTTTATTGTTCAGGAAATTAACTTACAAATATGTAGCAACACAGGTCATATTAAGTTATAATGGCCTTAAACTTGAAGATACTTGCCATATATACATGATGAAAAATATAGTCTCAGGTATTCTTGATTGCTTCATTGGGAATACATCTTAATGGATTTACTGGTTATTGGTTCCTGCTGAATAGTTATTTAATTTTACTCTTACAGAAGAAGAGATTCTGTCTGATGTGAAATATATCATGAGATATGTCCATCAGAAACTACCTCACCAAGACGACAAGCTCAACAAGTTCCTGAAGTAAGTATTGGTGTTGTCAAGCAAGGGGAAAGAGTTTAGAGAGACCATAGTAAACCTGTCGAAATTATACAGCACTGAGGACACTCTTGTGATTCGTAAAAGTCCACATTTTCTAAAGTCCAAAGATTAGTCTGACGATACTTTTATGTTTAAAAAGGATGTACGTACATGCAGATTGATTTCTTCTTGATTTTGACACAATCATTTAGTGTTTGTTAAATGTTTTAATTTGATCAATAACCCATATTCAAACTCTTGCACAACAGAAATAGCATCAAACATTTGGAGACAGACAAAAGGGAGGTGGTCGGCGTCTTTGGTAAAACGGGGGCTGGAAAGAGCTCTTTGATAAATGCCGTCATTGGAGAGCAGGATCTCTTGCCCTCTGGAAGCATCAGTGCATGTACCTCAGTGATGATTAAAGTGGAGGCTAACATGCGTAACCCAAAGTATGAGGCAGAAATCGAGTTCATTACAAAAGAGGTAAAATTAGATAAATATGTTTGTTATCTTAGAGCTATTTCAACTTTTATGATGAAGCTGGAAATAAATATATATGTTGACTACACAACATGCCATATAATAAAACATATTTGTTTAGGAGTGGAAAGAGGAGTTGTGGACCTTGTTTAATTTCCTTGGTGATAACGAAGATCAGGAAAAAGATGAAGATTATCAAGACAGTGTTGAAAAGCTGTCAGTGCTGTATGGAGAAGAATGGAGAAACAAATCTCCTGAAAACTTCATGGATAAAAAATACTTCAGAGAAATTCCTGAATTTCTCCTTTCCAAGAGTAAGATTTTGACAAGTGATACAGTAAGTAAGACTAATACTCAAACTTATCATTTCATAAAACACATTCTTTCCTGTCTGACAGAGCGAAATGGTTTGGAATATTGCACTATTGAGCTTTGCATTTACCACCTAGAGGTGGCGTAGTTTCATGATAGATCACCAAATGAGAGAGTCTATCTGTACTTGACCTATCTGGACTCTAATTACAATAACTACAAAACCATATCTACTTTATGCATCATAAGGAAAGAAAATGTCTAACAGTGTTTGCAAGAACCTCCAAGATAATTTAAGGCACTACCAGCTTTAAATTTAAATCATGTTAAAAACGTAAAACCTAATTGTTCCCCATTGCTAAAATATAAACGTAAGGTTTGGTACTTTTATATTTAATTCAGATTTAGTTGTTTCAGTGATAGGGTTTTAAATTGACTCTTTTTTTAAGGTTATGCTGTAATAATTCTATAACATCATTTTCTTAAGCAATTGAAAGTTAAAGTTTGTTTATGTAAAATAAATGGCCTTGCATTGCCTCTTGTTTTATGAATTATTTTAGGCTAAAGAATTATCTGCTAAATTTGTCAAATACACACGAAGTGAGTCAAAAGAGGAAGATGCTAAAGACGTGAAGAGGTTGTATTGGCCACTGGTGAAGTGTGTGACTGTCAGGGTGCCGAAGAATCGTCTTCTCCAGCACGTCACACTTGTGGATCTTCCTGGAAACGGGGACCGTAACAAGAGCAGAGACAGGATGTGGAAAAAGGTGATTAATCCACATGCAATGCTGATAATTGTGGAAGGTTACACTGACAATGTAACCATTATTATTTGCTGTGTTCCCCTCCAGGTTGTTGGAAGTTGTTCTACTGTGTGGATTGTGACTGAGATAAATCGAGCAGCTTCAGAAAAAGAATCCTGGGAGATCCTGGAAGAATCCTGCAGCCTCATGGGAAATGGTGGCGAGTGTCAGCAGATTCATTTTATCTGCACCAAGTCTGATAGTCTTGGACGTTCAGGCAATCAGTAAGTGGTTTAAGATGCCAAAAGTACACAGTTAAATGTACCATCCAATTTAGACGCTGACGCTTGAGACGGAGATGGCAAGAGGATAAACCATGGAAACATTGATTACGTTAACAGGCACATTACTATCCTGGTTTTGATCGTATTCAGGGATATAATGTTCACTTGAAACATGATAAACCAGGTTATTCATAACAGTATCCATGTTTCTCAATTGTCTACATGTGTGTCTTGATTCCTCAACATCTCAGCAATTTATTTCTGTCCTAATGTTGTTGCTTCACAAACACTTTGTGATGCTGGATTAAGCTCCTCCATGTGATCACTGGTAATTGAAAGCAAGAGCAAGATGCATAGTGTTATGATATCCTGGAATGTATATGCAGTTTATGTATTCATTTATGATGGATTAACCTCTTGAGCCCGATTGCCCCTGGTACTGGCATCTTGTAAGAAACACCATCCCTGAGCTTGTTAACATTTAACAACCTATTAATTTGGCATACCCACTTAACGGGAAGAAACTTGACTAACAGACGATAATAACAATTTTTACCAAAACGAAACACAATTCCAACACCAAGCGTCTAAATCAGCACTTAACGAAAACATGCTAACGCTACATTAGCACATAACTGGCGATAGCGATTATTCTACTTCATGCTATCTACACAATTGACATGTCATATGAAAGCTGAAATTCCACAGATTCCATTGAAATAAATCTCATCACTGAACTAGCAGCCAGGAAACAGCAACAAACAACTTCACTTTTACAGAGCCATAGCTATAAATATGTCTTACCTTTGCTGTTTTGCATAAAACGCTGTTGAAGGTTAATCCAATGTCTCTGTGTCAATTTGAAATGATTACTGATAATCCATCATTACATGTATTTGTAATAGACGGGGTATAATGTTTAGCCGTCCAGGGCATCTGCTTTAGGGCATGCTGTGTGTGCGTCATTCTGACTGACCAATGGTAATGTTTATATGGATGTATGAACTGCCCCTCGATTATATTGGCTCTAACGGTTGCAAAGAGGTGTCAATCACCCAATTTGACCAATGGGTTCCAGAGATACGGCCTCGCGTAATGCATAGGTCTGACTGGCAGCTCGTGCCCCATTACGCTTTGTGGCGAAAAAAGGTATAGAGGTCTGGGTGAATTTTCCAAAAAGATCAAAAACAGTTGTATTTGGATGGAATGAATACCTATAGTGATATTTCAATGAAAGCGTTTACAGTGTGGTACCTGAGAAAGGTCAAATGGCACTGATGGTAACCACATGTACCTAAATGTACCCAAAGGTGAGTCCGCCTGGACCTACCTGTGCTAAACCTCTCGAGTGGCCTGTGTTCGTCGTCCATTACATACGCCTGCCCATACCATAACCCCACCACCACCATGGGCCACTCGATTCACAACATTACCCTAACCCCTAACCCTACCCCTACCCCTCACACCAGATACTGCCTGGTTTTCGGACCCCCCCAGACCCCCCCAATAAAGCAAAAATGCACGTTTCAGAGTGGCCTTTTATTGTGGCCATTCTAAGGCACACCTGTGCAATATTCATGCTGTCTAATCAGCATCTTGATATGCCACACCTGTGAGGTGGGATGGATTATCTCGGCAAAGGAGAAGTGCTCACTATCACAGATTTTTTCAGATTTGTGAACAATATGTGAGAGAAATGGTTATTTTGTGTATATAAAAAATGTTTTAGATCTTTGAGTTCATCTCATGAAAAATGGGAGCAAAAACAAAAGTGTTGCGTTTATATTTTTGTTCAGTGTATGTTGTATTGACGTTTGGATCCCTAAAGGTTCTGGGCTACTATTCCATCATTCAAGGGTGGTTTTCACAATAGCTAATGTGTTTTTTTTAGTCGGAGATTAGAATTTAAATGTTCAATGTTCAATCTGAATTTACTCTGACACAGTAACATCTATATTGATTCTGACACTTCTACAGCCAACTCACAGGTGTATCATTGCTTTGATAAAAAACATTATTCATATACCTCTTTTAGTTGTGAAGATATACTCATTAATTCTGGGCATGTCATTTTCGAGCCTGAGGCATGTGATGTCAAGAGCAAGATGCAAAGTTATATGAGATGGGATGTATATGCAGTTTATGTAATTCTTCAAATACAAATCTTTTCATATAGGTCAGCAGCTGGTGTTCGTGCTCAAATACTAAAACAAAACGAGCAAGCCAAGAAAAAAGTGAGGGCAGAATTCAGCAAACTAAAAGATGTTAAGGTGAGTAATATTGAATTCAAATCAAACACAAATATTGTGCAAAATGGAAAATCTGCTTTTATATTAAAACTTGTTTGTTTTTTAAGAAACAATTCAGTGAGGAATGTTTCAAGGTTTTCACAGTGAGCTCCAAAGAGTTCATGAGAAAAAAACGTCTGGATCCAGATGACACAGGTGATTAAATTCTCCATAAGTGAGCCCCGATGACAAAATTGTTTTTATCTCCTCCAATAAATATGTAGAGATACTAATGAGTGTAACATGTACATTTAAGAATGTAATGTTACATTTTTTACAGAAATTCCCAGACTGCAGGAATTCCTGCAAGATCTCAATAACAGTCACTCTGAGACATTAAACTATGTGTCTGGAGCTCGCGGGATTCTCTCTCTGATTCAGGGAGCCAGCAGCAGAGGAGCGGTAAGATCAAGTAACAACATCTTTCATTGTCTTTAATATTGAAAGAAAATAATAAGATTCATAGAAAATAGTAAGCTGCATACACTAAAATGTTGTGTACAATTTTATAGATGACAAGGTATTGGATTAGCTGAGTTGTGTTGCTTCAGAGAGGATGCAATCCCATATTGAACTAGAGAATGCAATTCCTGAAGAAATTGCTAGTGGGAATGCTTTATGCTGAAAAGCTGATGCTAAACTGCTATGCTGAAATGTAATGTGTAAGAAGAAAGTGAAGAATTTAGATTGAATTGATACATGAACACTGGGGGCTTGAATGTGTGATGAGAGAAGAAAAGAAAGTAAAAAGGCTTGGAAAAGCAGCAAAATATTTGGACTGCAAACTTTTGAACTAACTTGATGGTGAATGATCTCTCGCCATGCCAACGGTATTTGATGACATCCCATAATACGCTTAGATGCGTTGATGGCTGCATTGTTACCAAACCTGTGAAGTTTTGGGCCATTTGGAGCATTTTCACTGAAGTTATGAGAAAACCGTGTTTCATGGCGAGCATTGTGTTGCCATGGCAACGGCATTTGAAGAAATCTCAAAACTGTCCCGTAGATGTCTTCACGGCTGGACTGTTAGCACACATGTGAAGTTTGAGCACTTTTTGAACATTTTCATAGGAGTTATAGCGACATCGTCTTTGATGGCGAGGGATGCGTTTCCATGGAAACGGCATATGATGAAACCCCATAATTGATGTAGAGCTGTTGAGGGCTGGACCATTAACCATTATCTGAAGTCTGCTGCTCTGAGCATGTCAGTTGGAGTTATGACATCATCGTGTTCCATGACACAGGTGTTTATATTTGAGCTAACGAGGTGTCCAGAGATCAAAGGCTTCCATGGTGATCAAATAAATGTGGCAAAGGCTCAAATTTGTTGAACAACACATTTGTAACAGGTTTGTTAATTGACCAACTAATATGAACAGATGGAAGATTGAAAATGGGATTATTATTAGGATTATTTGGAGGTCATTGAAAAGTAGAATCATTTAGAAAGATTTGAACATTGAAGTTTCTATTTTAGAAAAGCTGACACTGTAGTGCATCGCTGGTTTTAAAAGTGATTTATAAGAGTCATGTTTAAAGATGTGAAATACTTGTATAAAGATCCTCTGAGTGTGTGTCACTAGTTAGCTGATAAAATGTTAGGGATAAATACCTTGACATATTGACTACAAGAGCTTGAATCAAACAAGCAACCTTGTATTTGAAAGATTAACTGACATAGCAACAGTCACACGTGGTATATAAGTGGTGTGGCTGAGTACTTTAAAGGGTCATGAATAGAGGGGACTTGAATGTGAAATAAGAACAAGGAAATAAAAGTCTAAATGCATGAAAAAGCAGCTGAATATTTTAACTGAAAACTTTAGAACTAAAAGCATACGTCACCAGTAACGTCTAAAATATGTGGAACATGTTGAAGTCAGTATGAAGTCTCCATCAGATGGAAAATAATAGGCTGAGACAGTCTGTTAAATTCCAGTGACCACGTCATTAGCAGAGTTGGGTGTAACGCGTTACAAAATAACAATATAATAATATTACTTTTGTCGGTAATGGAGTAGTGTAACGCGCTACTTTTATAATTCAGTAATCACACTACAGTTACTAACATTGCCCCGACGCGCGTTACTTTGTTACTTACTAAAATCAGTCATAATCACACTGACAGACAAGAGGGGTTTCCGCCGCAGGTTTATATGTACGTAATCTGCGTGACTTGCGCGTCCACATCTCCACATGCAGTGCTGCATAAACATGGCTGAGTCAGCGATAACTTTCGAGGGGTGGAGGTATGCCCATTATTTTGAGTTCGTCCAAAGAATAGACAGGAATGTGATGGTGAGGTGCAAACTGTGTCCAGGCCAGAAGCTGCTGGTAAGGAGTTATTGCCACTCACGCATGCGCAGTTCATACGTGCTCGGCGAGTAAAGTAACAAGTTACTTTATGTAGATAGTAACGAAGTAGTGTAATATATTACTTTTTAAAAAAAAGTAATATGTAATATATTACATTTTTTTAGTAACGACCCCATCTCTGGTCATTAGTCTGCTGCTCTAATTATGTCAATTGGAGTTATGACATCATCGTGTGCCATGACACAGGTGTTTATATTTGAGCTAACGACGTGTCCAGAGATCAAAGGTCTCCATGGTGATTAGTGAGAGGACAGCATTTTCATTGTAATAAAAGATAAACCTGTTACATGTGAACGTTTTGTTGAAGAACCGTAACAGATATCGGTGAAATTTCAAAGCGTGAAGCATGTCAAGGAACTTGAGCATCTGAAGTGTACTTTGTGTGTACTTTCTGGTTAATAATGTGGCCTTTTTGGCAGATTAACTAAAGGTGTGCGGCTGCTGTGGTGGGGAAAGGTGAGGCTGAATTTACAATGGAGTTTAATGGGAACATGTTGAAAGTTTTTGTCACTTCATGCCCTCAAGAGCAGGGCCGGCCCGTAGCACTGGCGTTATAGACGTTCGCCTAGGGCGCCAGATCTGTGGAGGCGCTGCGCTGGTAGAAAAACATTTTTGACCGTTGGCGCTCATCCTAATTTTCGGCCTTGATGTAACAATATTCATAATTAACCTGTTTAGCCCGGCTGTTTTTCAGGTCTCAGGCTCAAAAATGACATTCCCGGAACAAATTACCATATCTTCCCTTCTAAAAGGGTTACATTAATAATCTTTGTTCTCAAAATAATGATAAACCTGTGAGTTGGATGTAGAAAAGTCAGAATCAATATAGATATTTTTTATTTTAAAGAAAATTCAGATTGAACATAGTAAAAAACTGTAAATTATAGTGTCCGTCCAAAATTATTTTTTACTTATAGTGAAAACTACCCTTGGATGATGGTAAGGTAGACTAAAAGCTTTAGGAATCCAAAGTACAACATATAATAAGTACCATCTGGCCCCCTGTAGTAACTCACAGGAGGCTTCTGGTGAGCATAGTGGAGTTTATTGGTTTCTGATAGCGCCGAACTGCGACTCCGGTTCATCACATACTTAGCATAACAACATAGCCCCCAGTTCCTCTTCTATGCTTATGGACGGCAACAACTTCAATGTCACAGTGCCACCTAGTGGACTGGTGAACTAACATGCAATGATATGACCTTACAACATCCACTTCCCCTCAAGCAGGTTAATACATCCAACAGGAACATTGTAACACTGTAACATTTTTTTATTTTTTTATTAAACCTAACAGGTGACTCACAACAGTATTATCTATTCCCTTCTTAGCTCAGCTGGAAGTATTTAAGGTAACTGGGTAACTTAGTCTCTCTTTTTGACTGTCTCTTCCCTGGACTTGTATTTTCCACAGTTCCATGGACCCTCTCTGCTGCTGCAGCTTCTGTAGCTGCTGGCTCTTCCAACTCGTCCCCACTGAGCACCACATTCTCAACGTCCTGCCATGTCTCTCCTGCCTGACTTAGCTGAGTCGAGTCAGTCTGTTGTCTTTCATGGTCTTTTTCTGGTCTTTGGTGGTGAGCATGTCCACATGTCTCCTGACTACGCTCCCATCACCCAGCATCACTTTATATGACACTGGCCCTGTCACTGACTCTATGATTCCTGGAATCCACTTGGGTCCAAGACTGAAGTTTCTCGTCAGCACTGAGTCTCCTGTTTTGAACCAGCGCCCCTTTGCCTTTTTGTCATGATCTCTTATTTGTCTTTCCTGTTTTTCTTTCACCTTCATGCACAGATCTGGATGAATTGAATCCAAACAGCAACGTAGCTTCCTCCCGAGAAGCAGCTCTGCTGGTGACAGACCTGTTGTAGTCTGAGGAGTCACACGATAACTAAATAACACTCTCGCTACCTTGGCTGTCAGTGTGCCTTCTGGACATTTTTTCATCATCCTTTTAAATGTCTGTACCCCTCTCTCTGCTAACCCGTTACTGGAGGTGTGATAGGGTGCCGAGGTCACATGACGGATACCATTTATTTTCAGAAAATCTTCGAACTCTGTGCTGATGAAACAGGTGCCATTATCAGACACCAACAATTCAGGCAGTCCATGGTTACTGAAACTGGTACGCAGGCACTCAATTGTAGTGGCTGAAGTGGCAGAATTGACTGGAACCACATCCATCCATTTTGAGTGTGCATCGATGAGCACACTGAATACGACTCCAGGGCTTATCAAGCCAATCCCAGGGGCGTAACAGAGCTGGTGCCGGAACATTTCGGTGCTCTTGACATGTTATACAGGACTTGACAGTATCCTCTACATCAGGGGTGCCCACACTTTTTTGGCTGGTGAGCTACTTTTGAAATGACCAGCTCACCGAGGTCTACCAACCAAAAATATAATCCCAAATTGCAAGGGTTGCTGAATAACACAATTGTATTTATACATGGGATAACTACAATAGGGCTGCAACAAACAACTAATTTGATAATCAATTAATCTATCGATTAATGAAACGATTAATCGACTATTCGGACTATTATGCCTTGCACAATTTCTCAAGCGCTCTTATTTAGCCATCAACTTTTAGATTTAGCTTGAGGTTGTTTTAGGCATGTGGAAACTAACAATGAAGACAATAAAGATGAATACTTGATTTAAAAATACATATATAATTAAATTAACTTAACAAATTGTGAACAAAATTAACATTGCTTTTTATTTAAATAAAATAAATAATATTTCACATCAAAAGAAACAACAATGTTTTAACAAATCGTATTAAATAATGTGATAACAGAATTATGAACAGAATAGCTGAAACTTTAACAAAATAAATGTAAGTTTCCTCTAATCATTAACCCATGTTTGCATAATTGAGTAAACTGCCCCGCCCCCCTCGCACACAGACGGGAGAGAGAGATCTCGTCTGGATTGGAAAGGTCGAAAATACACCGATCATAGACGCATTTTTTTGTCTTTTTGGAAACGTTAGAAACGAGTTGGCGACACT